ATCTACATTATTTAATCGTCCTACTGTCAAAACAGAAAGTCAAGGTCGCTAAACAATTTCAACTTATTTACAAATTACAACGAAACGAGCGCCATTCTCTGCAAAAGTAAAGCGCTATCTAAAGCAAATTACCGAAACTATCCATGTCTAAGCGAGACATGTCTGGGCAAGCAATTGCCACGAAGACTCTCTCAATTGTTTCGTAACAAAGTGTGTGGAAGCACACTGTCAATCAAGGAAAATTACGGCGTCAACAATAACAAATAAATTACTACACAAGTTAAACAGACGCAATGTTTAAGTCAATACAAAAATCAAGTGAATGCGATTCTCAATGTAACAGGTACTATAAAATCATTTCAGACTGGCCTTAGTATGCTGGTGACACAAAAAAGATGCCAAACGCCAGGACAAATGTAATTATTAAAACATTGAGTTTATACTGTAGTATTTTTGTTAATTTTAGGTTCATATATTTAGATTAAGTTATTTTTAGTGTATGTATTATTCTTTCCTTATTCAAAGCTTGTTCAAAAATGATTTTTGATGGTTGTACATAGAATTTTACGATTTTTTATAATAAATACTGTAACTTGCAAATGTTGCAATAATAGTGGAATGCAAATATTAATATGTAATTGCATTTAAAATTGAAGAAAATATTAAAACTTAATCCAACTGTTTAGTTGCATCACAATATATGTCACAAACTAAAACTATCTTAAAAATATCTTTTAAGTATACATTATCAAAAACTGTTTGCGGCTCTTTTTACAATTTTCAAAATGCAATGCGGCTCTCGAAAACACATGAGTTTGACACCACTGATCTATTCTAGACGATTCAAGCATTGCTTTGGGAAATTATATCACCTCAATTAAATTGAAATAATCTCGCTATATTAAATACAAAATCGTTGCTATCATAAAGGTAAACCAATTCAGCCACTCGAAATATATTGGCCTTCACAAAGCAATGGAGGCAAAATTGAGAGTTCATGAGCTATGAACATTTGTTCTTTTCTTTGTCTTGAACTTTTCATACTCCACAGCCCCTATTAATTTTTTTAATTTTAATTACCATGTGATGGTCATACATATCTTTAACTTGTATTTTCTGTCATGATGTATTATCTCAATGTGCCAAACTATTAATTAGTGTGCATATTTTGCTTCCAGATGACATAAATATATTGTCATGTTTATTACCTCAGCTTGGAGTATTGACAAGAAAAAGGTGCCAGTAAATTAGGTAAAAAAATTTTCAACTCATTGTTATAATCAGAATTCACAATCAATAGGAATTATAAACAGCCAACAATCAGTGAGAATTATATGCGAAATCCCTCAGAATAAATTTGTCTAAAATCGGAGGAAGGCAAAAAATATAGGTAGTTTCCATCCACACAAGCATTTCAAGAAGACTTGCTCGAGCCAAACTAAATGAGCATCGTCAGGTGATCGGTAAGGCTGCAAGTTGAATTCAGCCCTGCAACCTCCTGCATAGAAGATAATATTAATTAGTGGGCTATGAGCTAAATTCCTAAATTTAAACAAACCTATCTACGGTGCATTATGTACCAGCAATGTTACCTACGATTAACTGAATATGTAATATGTCTAATAAATTCACCTACAAAAGCAAGTTCGATAGGTGCAAACTTTGTGTTATGGAATTGTATCGCAGCACAGTTTTGTATGACACCCTCTTTAAATGAAATTTCAATGATTAAGCGCAAACATTAAAATTACTAACTTTGAACTTTGTCATTATCTGCACAATGTTCCACACAAATCTTTCCGCTATCGCGTTTGTAATCTTCTCTGATAAAAAAAAACGTCTATGATGTCCAGAATTGCTCTTTACAGCTTGCCTGTTATTCCAGCTTTCCAAGTAAGCAAAACTTCTTAGATATAGAGATTATTTTGTTTTGTTACAGGCGCAAAAAGACAGGTACTACACGTAAAAAAGACGCCGAGTAGCAAAAGCGAGCGGAAAACGGACGCGAAAGGCGACGAGAAATATGTGCATTGGTGCGTATCATGAAATATAATGTTTCGCCTGTAGTCTTATGGAGTGACGTCAGAGTTGCCTATCATGTTGTTTAATGTCATTGGTCCTACACACCGACCCGCACAAAACAATAATCAATCACTGCTGGAATATTTTCGTTATTGTATTATGTTTATAATGGACCTTTTCCCGATCTTTGATCCCCAAAAAATTCTACCTATACTTTACCATTGCAAAATTGTCGGGGCTTATTTTAAGAGTGCTTTTGCGAGTTGGCTGGCGCCTGTAAAATGGTGTATGTGTTTCAAACCATCATTATGATTCATCGCATACAACAATCTGTTTTTTAAAAGTACCGGTAAGGATATCACAGCTATTCCTACACTAATTTTTTTTACTGCAATTAAATTAGACCTCTTAAGAAGACAGAGTGATCATTGAATTATCTGATTTATATTTAAGTTTCCGTAACACAACTGAAAACTAACCAATACAGTTCACAAACGCGAAAACGAGGTAATGTTTACGACCACGCCTGAAAATCTGTTTGAGTGAGAAAAGTGTCTGAGCGGATGCAAAAAGGGAGCATTGTTACGTCACTTTTCGCATCTTGCTGATTGACCAATATCACGGAGTAAACAAGAAAGTCGATGCTCGGGGAAAGGTCCATAGTGTTGACTTTGTTTTTGTGGCAATAAATCCCTCTCTCTCTGATATTGTACGCTGCCCGACTCCCTGCATCTGGACTTCCACAGCGATTTGCCTGGTCCCTGGTCCGAGACGGTTTGTTTGAAATTTCCTCTTCCCTCAGTCTCTCAAATGGGGCTGCAAGTCCTGCAACAGAGTTAAAAATGATCGATCCTCGTGAGGAAGACTATATCCCAATTTCAAACGAGCTGCGCTTAGGATATTGTCAATATTTGGGATAACATACGTCTGAGAATCTGTGTTTTCTACCCTAACTTCTGAATGACACACATGTGACAGTACTGCTTCGGTCACCTACAACGACATACAAGCCAAATTTACAGAGAATTGTTCGAACCAAAAAATGTCGGAAGTCCCGCATCCATAACAAAAAATGGCTTGTAAATTTCTGTCATAATCATGTTGGTTAGTGATATTTACAATAAACTAGCAATAAAACACAGCTGAATAAAGGTATATCTGATGTCCATGTGTGTTCTTGTTTATATTGTGGCTCTTCGCGGGAATAGGGTACGAAATGCGGCTGACTGTTTGTATTTTGGCTGACAAAATAATAAATATCTCTTTACCTCGATTATTTCATTTCGGTATTCTCTCTCCCGGGATAAATACGCAAATCCTACCCTATTTAAAGTGAATATAACCTTTATATTCTCTTTGATTCTATTCTACCTACAAACAATCTATCAAACAACAATCAAATACGAAGATTCAGATACTTTGTTGACTCACCGTACTTTTAATAACCTAACAATAATTCAGCGTTGTTTTAAAAAAAAGCGTCTCTTCTTTTGGCCTGTTGTCGCGGTGTTAAATAAGAAATGCTGGTTCTTGTTCACGCACAAAAGTAAAGAATATGATTTTCAGTACTGCTAAGAAATAAATAGAGAGTTTTGACTTCAACTGTCAAGTGGAAAACATAAAAAAGCAAAAGCCCATAAGGACAGACTATTGTCTTCGAACACAGGCAGGCTCCCAATACAGTAATAAGTTTTTGCATGTTTTTATCAATTCTTTTATGCCTATTATGGTTTCAAAATATACTTATACTTACGCTTATACTAATCATAATGTAACGCACGCCAAACGACAGCAAAACTAAAGGCAGAATGCTCTTTCAGACTAGTCACGTGCCGTCATGACTTAAAACCGTACCTCGGAGGCGCAGCGGTAGATTGTACCGTAACGCACTATCGGCAGCAGTCGTGAATTTGTTTCACAAAATCGGCATAAGGCGGTACCGGTACCGATTTATAGGTGCCAGGAAAGCAAGCAAATAGCAGAATAAAACAAATTTTAATTTCATGCTTTTTTACATTAAAAATAGAAAGGCAGGCCAAAACCGACGTTCAGACGTCAGGACGTTACGCAATTCAGCAATTCTTTATAGCTTTATCTGAATTCGACTTCTTTTGATATGTAGTTGGAAAATTACGGTACCGTGGTACCTGGTCATCTATTCAAATCAATTCTGTCTGGCTGTGGGGGGGAAATATACAACCAACTCTCAGGGTCGAGATATATTTAGGTCTTTCTGTCTATCGAAGTTAATCGTAACTCCTTGAACACTAAAAAAAATCATAAGGTGAAAGACTGTCTGATGCAGAATGAAATTCTTGCCTGGCAGCCTGGTGCCTCAATGTCCCACACCTTAATAGGGTTTACCGGTAGTTCTCCGCGCGTGACTGACTGACTGACTTTTACTAAAAAAACTCTGGTGAATAGCCTATTTAGGCAAATATTTTCACATCACATTTTTGTTTGGCGTTTCTAGCACTTACAGTGGGTACCTACTTCTTATTAGGACTCCAACTATGAACTCAAAGAAAATTTAATTTTTATTACAAAAATTTTAGCGTATGCAAGCAATGTGTAGTAAACATTTTTCTAAATTTCTGTCAAAAATTTGACTCAGACTCTAACTACGAAATCTAAGAAAACCAAATTTTGATAACCGAAACTCTGGCTCTGGTTCGCCATATGGTTAAGCTGTCTTATCGACTTTTAAGAAAGTGTAGAAAGACAGTTGTTTATTTCACCCGCTCGCACTGACAGTGCGGTGAGAGTAGAGCGATCGGCAACTTTCAGGAGTGATGCGTCGGACCACATTACAGCATTACAGAGTGTGGTTGGATACAGTCGGCGGGCCGGTCAAAATCTCGTCGCGGGCCTGACACGGCCTGCGGGCCGTATGTTGCCCACCCCTGGTTTAGTACCACAAGTACCAATAAAAGTGTTAGGAAAGTGGGATCGAGGTTGCATACCAAAGTGGCAACCCTATTTTTTTATTCCAGTATCCCACTGTTATCCACATAGTATAAATAATATTAATGCATCCTATCTACTGATCTATCATGGGTTGCCTCGAGAGTTGTTTAAAGAAAAATGAGGAGGAAGCGGATGAGCGAACATCGTTGCTAGGAAATGGGAATAGTACAATTGCGAACACAGCCCCAATCAATACACAAGTCATCGCAGAGGTAGTGACTTTTTGGTATTTTGTTTTATATTATACAATCTACACAAACTTCACCCCCCCGAGTGCTTATACCACAAAGATTAGTACGAAATTTACTGGGGTCCAGTCTCCCTATAACAGTACGGCACATTATACAAATCGGGTGACATTGTCCCGTTTCAGAGAAACCCATTTTACAGATGATCAGACACTCCTCCTTTGGGAGACGTCTGGACATTGTTGTCCTTCATTATCGATAATAATATGAACATTGTTGTCCTTCATTATCGATAATAACACAGTATAATGAAGTTGCGCGAAATATTACAAAAAAGCGCAATCTAGTAACGTCATCATTGAATTCATTAGGAAAAAATAATCAGATTTACCTAAGGAAAAAAAATTTCACCGTTGCATTCAAAAGTCTTTAGCAAAAAACAGCAGTTTTGGTCATGTGACGGCCTGGATTAATCTAGATCAGGGCTACTCAACTATTTTTGCTAAAGGTCCGTATACAAAACTTGAAAATTCTTGGGGTCCGGTATGGCCAGAAAATGTATTTCATACTGCGCCTAACTATAATTTAGTGACTCTATCTTTTTGGTTAAAAAGTTAAGGAAACGCGAGTTGTGGAAAACTGAGTAACATCAAAATATTCCACATCCTTTTACAGATCCAAAGTTAAATGGAGACAATCTTCCAAAATAAAAATAAAATCAGACGCGGTCCGAATCGAATACTCGAAAGGTCCGAATTCGGACCGCGGTCCGCCAGTTGAGTAGCCCTGATCTAGATTATTATTTAGACAAGCATGCCGCGATATGAAGCATCAGACGTGGTCCCAGACGTCCCTCTTTTGTGAGACACATAGAGTGTTTGTTTTATTGAGCCAAATGGAGGGAAATTCTTGGAATTTGGATAGTGTGCTGTACTGTATAAAGTACACTGCACAGTTCACTCAAATATTTCGAACCTGGGTTTCACAGAGTTATAAAGTTTGTAGTTCGGTGTTAATAGGGCCAATGCTCTAAAACGTGATAATGGATTCGGTTTGAAGACTTGAAAGGTCCATTTTCGGAAAGCGGTCATACTATGACTCTGAAAAATTTAAAACTGTAACTCTAGCTCTGACTTCCTTCCTTTCATGTCGTTTAGAGATCTTTCCAGATCAGCATTTTTTTCCCAATTTATTCAACCCTGGGTGACACATTGGGCTTGGATTTGAACCCAATATTTCTAGCTAGGTTAAAATTAAGTTAAACTAACCCTGACGTGGGCAAACTACAGTTCATGGGCCAAATTCGGCCCTTTGGGGTATTCAATCAAGCCCACCTGATACACTCACAGCCAAATCAAAATCAAATTTTGAGGTTCAACTAAAAATAACTCAAGTAATTTGTTGTGATTGTGATTAAATTAAGTTTTGGGCTTATTGTTTTTCACTTTTGCCTTTGTAACACTATTAATATTGTTCATAAAATATGACTTTCACGGCACCTTTGGCCTAGTCTAGATGGGCAAAAAACTTTCCCAAACCCTGCTCTGACCACTTTGCTAAATTTAACAGGAGCATACACCTATTGGAAGCGTATCACGAAGCCAGCAGGACGAACAGACGTTACTTAACGGGATTCTAACAAAATATTCATCGGACGTTATTGACGTAACAGCGATAGATTCGAGGATAGACGCTGTGGAATATATGAACAGAGTGACGCTGTATAATAGAAAATTAACAGGTAATTGGAATAGAGAGAGTGAGCATTGCACACAAGAATAATAGCCATTATGTGTAAACAATGCTCAATGCTGTGGTCCCAAACTGTGTATCATTTAATAACATTAAATTCGTTTGAAGAAATCATTTGATTAATAAAATAAATATACCTATGCTAAGATTAATTTATCTGATGAAAAAGTCAATGTGAAACTTTTGGCATTTCTTGCATAACTGCTTCGAATAATGTTGATAGCGACAACAATGTCCGAAACGACTCAGACTCTGATATCAATACCATGTCAAACTCCAAACTTTGAGTAATTCCAGAAACTGCATCAACTCTCAATTTGATGAGTTTTAATACATTTTGGTTCACTTCAACTACCCCGGTATCCAGGCCAGATAGCGACTGTCATAATGACGACTTCATAATAGCGACTGTCAAAAGAGCGACTAGCGACTTGACTTTTTGTACAGGAAGAACAAAACATATTAGGGTTAGGGTGTGGGGAATGGAAGGTGTGTGTGTAAGCCTTGGATTTAAGAAAGAAAGTGATGTCGCTGTTGTGGCAGTCGCTGTTTCAAATGAATCGCTGTCGTGCAGTCGCTCTATTGACAGTCGCTGTTTTAAATGAATCGCTGTTGTGGCAGTCGCTGTTTTAAATGAATCGCTGTCGTGTAGTCCCTGTTGTGGCAGTTGCTGTTTCAAATGAATCGCTGTCGTGCAGTCGCTCTATTGACAGTCGCTGTTTTAAATGAATCGCTGTTGTGGCAGTCGCTGTTTTAAATGAATCGCTGTCGTGCAGTCGCTGTTGCGGCAGTTGCTGTTTCAAATGAATCGCTGTCGTGCAGTCGCTGTTGTGGCAGTCGCTGTTTTAAATTAATCGCTGTCGTGTGGTCGCTCTATTGACAGTCGCTGTTTTTAATTAATCGCTGTCGTGCAGTCGCTGTTGTGGCAGTCGCTGTTTTAAATTAATCGCTGTCGTTTGGTCGCTCTATTGACAGTCGCTGTTTTAAATGAATCGCTGTTGTGGCAGTCGCTGTTTTAAATGAATCGCTGTCGTGCAGTCGCTGTTGCGGCAGTTGCTGTTTCAAATGAATCGCTGTCGTGCAGTCGCTGTTGTGGCAGTCGCTGTTTTAAATTAATCGCTGTCGTGTGGTCGCTCTATTGACAGTCGCTGTTTTTAATTAATCGTTGTCGTGTGGTCGCTCTATTGACAGTTGCTGTTCTGACAGTCTCTATTTGGAACCCGAGTCAACTACTTCTTACTCAGGAAGTTGAAAAACACAACACAGATCAGACCCCATAATACCAACAAAACTATTTCAAATCCAAACTTACACACCAAATTGTAAAAAATAACATCTTGACTCCAGCTCTGATACTGATAAAAGAAACCAAACTTCGACTGCACAACCTTTTTTTGATGCAAATTTCAATTCAAAACTGGCCAGAAAAGCGTAATGACATCTAGGGAAAACTCTTGTTGCCAGAAGCACAACAACAATTATCGTTTAAAATAATTACCGTACTTTGGAACAATGGGAAAAGTCGTTTTAAATATTTTTGTTGATTCAGATTCTAAAACAGACCTAATAGTTAGCTCTAGCTTTGATATTGATAAAATATAAACAGACTGATCTTTGTCTGTTTGATGCAAATTTGTAAAATACCAATTCAAAACTGGCCGGAAAACATAATGGCATCTCGTATCTCTTTGTTGCCACAATAAAAATTCCACGTTATATGCAAACCAAGATGGTGGACACCGAAACGTAGTACTTGTACTAGGTTGGGGTTAGGCCATAATTTTATTCCAATTTTCCTTATTTTAGTTCTATTACGAGTTTGGGGACTAGCCAAGTGACTCCCATAGTATTTGTACCTGAAATTATGGCCCAACTCTAACCTGGTACACATACTACTTTCCGGCGTCCACCATCTTGGTTCGCATACTACAGTACAGAAGTACCAAAATAATTACTTTGAATAGATAGAAACATTTGATTTGATTTGTATATCTCTGTTCCCTAATGTGAACTAACCTAACTTTAAATGTTTTTTCAGCTCTTGGCGGGAGATTGGAGGTGAGAAAGCCGTCGTTACGGTCCGCTTGCAACAATCCTGCGACGTTACTCGGCGGTCCGATGCCTTCATTTGATGACATCATGCTTATTAATGAAATCAGCGAGAGTTTGGCTGTTGCCGCGGGAGACATACGTGTCATAAGGAAACAAGACTTAACAATTGATCTTGCCCAGCGATGAGAAATCAAAAACTACGACTGTAAAAATATGTTTTTTCATAAATATTTCCGTATTTTTCATCAAACAAAGCTCCTGGTGAGAAGCTGATAACTAAGGAACACCGTTTTTGAATATTCAACATTTTACTCCAAATCAGGCCCTGTGCAAACAGCCACTGAGAGCCAGAAGTCCCCCAACTTTTGTGTTTGACGTTTCACTTTAAACAAGGCACTGGGCAAGGAGCATTTTGACTTGGACTCAAGCTCAAATATCTGAGAAAAGGTTGAAGCCAGGGGCGAGGGGTGGGGTTATGACGTGAAATGTTGCTCAAAAAGCATTTTTTGCAGCTTTGAACACTTTGTAGACCCTTATAAGACTCTTTATTAAAACTCGCGTTTTCAGGTTAGCTATCACGATCGGACTTAGCAATTATAAATTTCAGAATCCCCCCCTCCCCCAATATTCTAAAATAGGGGTTCCCAAACCAGGGGTTGCGACCCCAAATTGGGTCGGAGTGATAAGTAGGTAGGGTCGCAAACAGGTTATGAGGTCGCTGAGGTATGGTAGAGGATGGATGTACAAAACATCTAAGATTTGACAAACCCTGTTAAATTCAGCAGTTTGTACCATGGCTTACTGTAAAACAGGCCCATAGGCATCGCTCTATGCTTATGCTGTAGAAATGTAGGTGCTTATTGTGACATCACTGTTTGGTTTTAGATTGTTTTACTTAATACCACCACATGACCAAACTCAAAAGTGCATTGAAAGAAGTTCTAAAGTTTCGTGAAAAATATATATATTGACCTGGAGTCGCACTGGACACTTGAATGTTGTCTTTGGGGTCGTCCTGAAAAAAGCTTGGGAACCTCTGTTCTAAAATATTCAAAAAGTCAAGAATCAGGGGTCAAAGGTCAGAGAAAATACTCAAAGAAATTTAGAATTCAGAGTATCGAATTGTTTTACTGGGGACAACTACAGTTAAATAAATGAAACACTTTCATACTAAAATACAGTTGCAAGAGTTATATTTCTAATTTTTTGTCGCTAATGTTCATTTTTCTCATAAACGCAAGATATATATTGTTGTTTCTAATAGTGTTTTTCCATCAATACTTTTTTAGCCAATTAATAAGCTATCTGATTTTTCCTCGTCCTTAGTAATGTACAAAAATATTGTTCAAAATAACTTTCTATTGAGAAAGAATCAATTCCGATAATCCTGTTCAGTTTATTCTTTTCCAGACTATTTTCTTACACAATGCTTATTTGCGTCTTTTGCTTCGGAGAAGGCAATGTCCAAACATCGGCTGATGTCTAACGAAATATAAAGTGCTAATATCTCAGTAGAGTCGGACATTTTAAACCGCTCGGCCAGTGGTTCCTGACTCTTTATGTTTGATGCCCCCGCTTCGAAGGCTATTGAGCACTCAAGGACCCCCCCGTTTATCATCCTGGTAGTATTTATAGTGTTTGATCTGAAGATTCCAAATCCCATCATGTTTAAAACAGTTCATGCTCAAAAAGTGAAAACACCATGTAAAATAACCTTTTCAGGCAATGAAACTAGGAAGAAACGGGGAATTTTCTTGTAAAGTGAAAATTAAAAGCAGTTTTGCGCATAGCATTGTGGCCTTTAGGGGGATCACAGTTGGGAACAGCTGCGCTAGGCCATTGCGCCCAAAATTATTTAATTCCATTATAACTGATAATACTTAGGAAATCACACTCATAAGTTTTGTTCACCTGATTTATCTCCCGATGTGACCTTTGTTTTATCCTTCAAAGTGCAATTGCAGTATTGCGAAATTTTCCATTCAATGTAATAAATATACCTGATTTAAATGACTGTTGGATTTGTAGGTGGGGACTTTTCCGAGGGGGAGCGCGTATTCTGCAACCTGTGGAGGGTCACTGCCAAGTGCTGGGCAGAATCCTTGGGTCCAGGGGTGAAAGGTCGCCCAAAGTCCAGACAGCCGCCACTTTCAATGGTCATTTTAATATAAATCGAATCTTCGATATTACTCTACTCAATTACTGAGCTAAGTCACACTGGCTGTCAGTTGATGACAAGAATTCCAATTGGACGACTAAGTAACCAATGATAAATGCGGATTCGACTCCAGAACCTTGAGTAGAATCAATCACTAAGTTGAGGATTAGCACATATTTATCCCAGGAAAAAGGAAAGCTGATAAGACAGCTGAACCATATGGCGGACCACAGCCTCTCGTCCGGTATGGGATTAGTTAGTTATTTGTTTTCGGAAGCATGGACTTGATGGTGGAGGAAGCCGTAACCGACCAGTGGTTACGTGAACCACCCTGCGGCGGCGAGGAGTCCAGCAATCCTCCCGCACATGATCAACCCCGCATGGGATTCGAACCTGCAATCCCACGAAGGGTAATCAGAGATGCAGTGGCAAGCATATTAACGCTTAGCACAATGAGCCAAGCTGGTTGAATCACCTAGTTTGTGATGAATGGTGACTCAGGTTGACTCTTCGAATAGAGTATCTTTAAATATTAGTAGACAGCCCTAAAACGGTGAATATATAAAAATTCACATTTAAGTCTACCCTACAAATCGTACGCTCTTATCGTGAGGATTTGGAATTAAATTGGCATAATGTCATTTCGTTTTGGCGTAGAATTATGCGCGTACAGTATATGACATACCCTTGTTTTGGCAAATTTTGAGTTTAAGCTCGACTTAAACGCAAGAAAACACAGTAGATGTGATGGCAATCTCGCCCTTGACGTTAGCAGGATACACTAACCCAGTGGTTCCCACCTTTTTCAATATATTTCTCCATTTGCCTATTTTAGATATCCCCTCCGACACTACGATTTTCCGGTATTTGTTTTTAAAAGACCTTCGGTTATTGATTTGCACTCAGGAATTGAATAGTTTGTAATGTGTCTATAGGGACATAGAACAATAGTGCCAAAAAGTAAAAAATATTAGTCTAACTGCACCAAATACAAGGTAATATAGTCACAGAAGAATCTCTACACACACGCTTCGCATATAAGCGCACATTTTCATTAATCTCAGTTGGTTCACTTAGTGAAACGATTATAGACAGCAAGCCACGAAATGCCGAATTTTTCAGTAAATCGTTCAAGAATAAAGCAAACAACTGCTGTTAGAAAAGGCGTAAGGATTCGTGTACTACTGCAAACGTCGCAAAATTGCATTTAAAATTTTTTTCGAAATTGGGGGCATAGCCTACTATTTCCTCCCTGGAAATGGCAAGATTCCTTCCCTCTGTGCTAATCCCAGTTCACAAATATCAAAATCACAGAACAGACCTTTTTAATAGAGAAGAAATACATGATGATATAAGAAACACCATCAGGATTGCAAACGCAAAAACTAGTCTCCTGGTTACTCTAGTGTTGCTAGATTTTTTATGAAGTATTACTATACCTTTACTCTGAACAGGGTAATGCATAAGCAGATACGTTTTCGTGAAGAACCGAAAACTTATCTGTGTGGCATTTTCTATTCAATTTATTACAGCGTGGGCGATAATTTTAATATTCTGTATTCGAGTGGAAATTAAAAAAAAATATGCCATAATACCTTTCGAGTTGCAATTTAGTGTGGCCCTTGCCCTTATGTTCAAGAAGGAGCTCACAATCTATGCGAGAACTCGACATTTCAAGTGTCTCACTATAATGTTAAACGAGAATATCGGTCAGAGACCGAAAACTTATGATCGAAAGTTAGGGGATCCCCTAAAAAGCGCTCTTACTCCATAGTGACACCTGTGTCCCATCACTAATTAATTAATAACTCGCTAATTATACGACATAATTCATCCAAAATCAATAGGCGTCTGGTCTTGAGATATGATGAATGCACACGCAAAATCTGGAGCAGATTCAATCTTGCTTTCGTGAGATATCGCGTGCATCTAACAGACAGACAAATACCTATCGACAGACGGACAAATACCTATCAACATACTTACCGATTGAAATCGAAAATTAATAAACATATCTTTGCACTGTAAAAAATTTTCAATTTGTTGTGCACGTAAAGAAACTAAATTTGTGTGGTCCAGCTAGATGTCTAAGTAGATGTAGAAGATTTTAGTCCTTATTACTTATCGATCTTAAGATCGGTAAGTATGTTGATAGGTATTTGTCTGTCTGTTTGTTTGTTTGTCTGTTAGATGAACGCGATATCTCAAGAAGGCGAGATTGAATCTGTTCCAAATTTTGCATGTGCATCCATCATATCTCGGACCAGAAGCCTATTGATTTTGGATGAATTATGTCGTATAATTATCGAGTTATTATTTAATTAGTGATGGGACACGCGGTATCACTATAGAGTCATGAATCGAAACAGCAGTTTCGATATTCTCGTTTATGTATCAATATAGGGTCGTATAAAGAAACTAAATTTTTCGTGTGGCCCAGAATAGATGTCGTTGTTGAGGTAGGAAATTTTGGTTCTTATTTATATAAATATGGCTGTTGGGGCTTTTTTCAGAGGAAAGGTTAGTAAACTTTTCAAAAAAAAACTTGCAATCCTGAGGCGATAGATATAATAGACACAAACATTGATATTACCCTGCTATGGCCGCATAACTAATTTCATGATCTGCTATCTTTGATTACGTTTGAACTAGGTTAAATTAACCCTTTATTGCAGTTGTTCCCAAAGTTGATTAGGCGATGGCATTTATGCTCTAATGTGAAAAAAACCAAGGCAGCAGCAAAGGCCGATAAAAAAACGAGAAGAAGTGACTGGGAGCATCTAGCGCCCATCAAAAGCCCAAACCTAAGAGGGGATCGTCTGCAGGGGTTGTTACAAAAATATACACATGCCTATAATCGGTGATAATGATGTAACAATTGGAGGTATCTAAAACGCAAAAAGGTGAAAAATTTGAAATGTTAAACTATTTCACCAAGTTTGGCGGGCCATATTAAATCCGTACCAGGGCCGTAATTGGGCCACGAGCTGCGGTTTGGGAACCACTGTTTGGTTAGCGGAATTTTTTTTAAATGACCATACAGAATGAGATAAGGGAAGCTGGAGCAATAACTTATCTTATATATTCTAATCTGCGAAAATGAATAAAATGAAGCCAAAAACAATCCAGCGAAGCAATGACCTAACCCCTGCAAAAGTGTCCGCTTCTGCTGAGAACCAAAGATGACAGATCATAAAATTAGTTATCGGGGCAAAACACGATAGTACCCAGATAATAAAGGTATATACAAAATAAATAAAGTATTGAAGGAGTAAAATACACAAAAGAGTTAAAATAATAGGCGCTCCTGAAGTATGTGCACCAAGATGGCGTACAACCTGAACCCTAACCTGGTACACATACTATGTTTACCATCTTGATACACATACTTCGGGAACTCCAACTAATATATTTCTGAAAATGGAGTATTTTTTGAACATGAATAAACAATGTTTGAAGTTACTATATCTGTATAGTTTCTGAAATAATAATTTCTAATGTAGAATATGGGATACACTCAAAGATATGTTTTGTTCAACATAGAAGGGTGCTCCCGAAGTATGTGCACTAAGATGGCGCACAGCCTGAACATAGTATGTGTACCAGGTTAAAGTTATCAGGTTGTGCGCCATCTTGGTGCACATACTTCTAGAGCGCCCTAGAAGAACATAGTAATCAATGAGTTAGCATTTAGAAATGTAGAAAAAGTTGAGGCTTTCCAAAATATCGATCGATTCGGTCACATAATTAAGTCATTCCCAGCAAAGATATATAGAAGTCTATCATAGCAGAGCTCATTCAAAATCAAGCTAAAAAACGTTCAAGATAAAAGCGGATTTTCGTCCGCGAAGAGTAGTAGTCTGGAAATTTTGATATATGACTCATTCACTAGAAAAATACAAAGAATTATGAGAGAAATTGAGAAATTTTTACCGATCGAGGCATTTTTTAGCTGCTGCCATGGAAACGAAACATTAATCCGGACTTTGGGTAAACACAAATGATGGCATTAAGGTGACAGAAAAACCCATGTGAAAAATTTCAAACAGATCTGCCCAGCCTTTTGGACGCTACAACTTGACACACAAAATGACTGAGAATATTGTACTTATAGAGCAAAGATCCAATACACTTGGGTTGGGGGCACAAAATTTTTTTCTTTTGAAAAGCAGGGGGTAAACGGAGGAGGAGGTACAGATTAAGGTGCTCCCGAAGTATGCGAACCAAGATGGCGGACATCGGAACGTAACATGGGTAACAGGTTAGGGTTAGGCCATAATTTTTTTCCAATTTTCCTCATTTTAGTCCTATTATCAGTTCGAAGACTAGCCAAGAGCCTCCCGTAGTATTTATACCTAAAATTAGGGCCTAACCCTAACCTAGCACACATATAACATTCCGATGTCCGCCATCTTGGTTCGCATACTTCGGGAGCCCCCAGATCAATATAAGTATGAGGACCGCTGGCTTACCCACTGGTCCTAACAGGGCATAAAATTTGTCAGTGACGAAGATTTTACCTGAAAAACTGCGATTAAAATAAGAAACAAAGTGTTTTATCAAAATTGACTGGTAAAATAAAGACTTTGGATAGCTTCGCTCAGAGATTAGTCTCATTTAATTTTTGAGTTTTTAGTAATTTCTGTTAAAAAAGTATGGCAAGAGCTTCTGATGAAAAATATTTTTAAATTAAAAAAAAAAATACAAAATTTTTAAACAAAAATATTTGATTCAATAGCGCATGCAAGGCTAGCATGTTGGGACTGTATTCCCATTGAAATGTTTCAGGTTCAAATTCCACGCCTATCACCTTACCCATGGTGTAATGAACGGGGTGGACGATGCTGTACCGGAAAATTACGTTTCAGTACAGGGATACGGTTTACTGGTTATTGAATATCACAAACATAAATGGGTGAGTGGCCTAGCCTTCAGTAATTTGTTAAGAGAGATAAAATCGAGGCTAAGCCCGAATTGTTGCTGTTTTTCTTCCATAAATTTGCTGATTTCAGACTAAGCCAGATTAGGAAATTGTTTTTTGTATTTTGCCAATCAGCAGCCTGTTGCTGCTGATTTTCAGGCTAAGCCTAAGCCTCAATTGTTCTGTTGTTTATTCTTTTAAAATTTTGCTGATATTTAGGCTAAGCCTGGCTTGATGAGTTGTCGTTCTTTCATAGTTTAGCTGAATTTTAGGCCAAGCCTAAATTCAACTGTTGTTGTTCATATTTTAAAATGCTGCGGAATTTCAGGCTAAGCCTGGCTTGATGTGTTGTTGTTTATCTTTCATACTTATGCTGAATTTAAGGCTAAGCCTAAATTCATGTCCTGTTGTTTGTTTCTTGTTGTTCTTCCTCGTTTCTTCGTTCGACCGTGTTCGCAAGAGCAGCAGGCGTCAACCATTCCTGAGGGAGACATCTTTGAAGTAATGGAACGCAAGCGCTCATGTGTGCAAGACGATTCACCCATTTTGGAATCCGAACTCCGCAGAGAATCTGACAGAAAAATTATAATTACCGTAAATTTGATAAAAGTGATCGTATAACTGGAAAATAAAGTTTTGGGCTCAACGAAGGATCAGCTGATGGCCAAGTAGTTAAAGCATGGGTGCACAACCTTTTTTGACTCAAAAGTTTTGACTTTTGACTAAAAGTTGCAGGCACAAAAATGTTGGGTATTGATCCTATGACAAGCTCGCTGTCAGGGCATTGTAACGTCATAGGCCTAAATTGAATATAACTTCGCCACATGAAGGGATTGTGAATACTCGCAAGTTTTTTTTGGGGGGGGGGGGGTGAAGCTCATCAAAAATAAAAATATTTGTTAGATTAGATCCTGCCCGTCTGGTTTTGGATATTTACATTTTATCCATGTATGTGTTTTAGAATAAAACATACTCTCGCCTTACTACCTGTTATTTGTAGCTTATTGTGAACTAGTTATTTTTGAGGTGGAACGCGAGACTTGACAAATTGTAAAAAAGGGACAATGCTTGCAAAGTAAGAGAACCACTGATCTAATTCAGGGCAACCGAACTACTCTTGCTGAAGATCTGCAACTTCGAAATTATTTGGGTCCGGTCTTTCCTGAAATTCTATTTCGGCATCCTTACATGTGCACTTCCTCGGCCGGCTATAGCAAATCAAGATTGTTGGGTGCTCCCGAAGTATGCGAACCAAGATGGCGGACATCGGAACGTAACATGGTTAACAGGTTAGGGTTAGGCGATAATTTTTTTCCAATTTTCTTTATTTTAGTCCTATTATCAGTTCGAGGACTAGCCAAGAGCCTCCCGTAGTATTTATACCTAAAATTATGGCCTAACCCTAACCTAGTACACATATTACATTCCAATGTCCGCCATCTTGGTTCGCATACTTCGGGAGCCCCGATTGTTTATTATGTTGATATAGTTCTTTTCATATATATTCAAAACTATAAGTCATTTTATAAAATGAAACTTTAAAATGGGGGCTAATGATCCAAAGTAAAGAATTGGGCGCGGTCCGAATAAAATACTCGGAAGGTTTGGATTCAGACCATGCTCCACCAGTTGAGTAGCCCTGGTCTAGTCTAGTTCATAGTTTAAAAAAATCCTCACCACAGAAAGAGCGTGTGTGAAATGGTTACAATTCTTGTGCATTAGGTGATAGGCGTTGCCTTTGTACTCTTGTCCGAGCTGCTCAATTATCATTTCGATGTCTCGCTCCTGGAAATCCGTCGTCCCAAGAACTACGCTCTCTCTGTTAATAAAAGAAATGTTCTTATTAATTAGAAATACTGTATATCCTCGAATATCAGTTTAAAACTAAAAAAAATGTGGCCAATCTAAGAGATATGGGGCTCTACGTTCATAACTCTGACTGCACTATTTCTCTCCTGCAACCATTTACTGTGACAGGTGCATACGGCGTGTTACGATTTGTAGGGTGGGCTCGTATGCAAATTTTTATATAGTCACCGTTTCCAGGTCCGTTTATGTGGCTTTTATGCAAGGATATATGGGTAGGCTAGTTGATATTATCCAAATTTGGGAGGTCGAACAGGAACGTTCCAAATGATTGTGACTCCCTGCATAACGTAGATATGGGGTGAAAGAAGCTTGCTTGGAGTTTTTATTAGTTCTGAGTACCCTTAAAGCAGTGGTTACCAGCGGGGGCTCGGAGACCCCAAGGGCAAAGCAGTTGAAGGGGGCCCTGATACTATTCGCAAAATTGATTTTCTATTTTTGCAAACAATGGGACGACAATTATGCTGCTTTGACTTCACCAAGGTAAATCGAGATGGCTCAATGCTTATGTTGGTCGTATTTTAGGGAATATAAACAAGGGGGCCCCAAGTGCCAAAACAATCTGAAAAAGGGCTACAAGCAATAAAATGTTGGGAACCATTGCCTTAAGACATCTCAACCATTCAATAAGAGTTTCGAATAGTTGTTGGCATTTCATTTTTTGTCCGTAACTCAGAAAGTAGTTCCCTTTATTTGGAGTGAGTGTGTACAATGTATCCCCATAATCCTACTTGCCCGTAACTTTGCTTAGAGATAAGTCTCCTTTACTTCTGAATGCCCATACCTTTGCCCAGATATGAGTCTTCTTTACCACTGAGTGAGTGCACATGAAGTTGATTTGAGCAAATTATCCAGTCATAATATTTTCCAAAAAAAAAAGTGAGTCTTACTTGAATTTAAACGTTTCTCCAAGTTCCACAGAGTCCCCTGGTGCAATCTCAAATACACCAGTGAAAGGGTACGCATGCCCTCCATAAGCAAACTCTGAAAATGTGACAAATAACGATTAAGAAAATAAGTTTGCTTGAACCAAATTTTGGATAAAAATAATTGCATGGGAAGCCACATACCCTTACTTTATGATAAAATGTGCTGCTGTTCTCTGCTTGCTTTCAAAACAATATGTGCCTGCTCAGGTCAGGGGTCATTTATAGGGATGGGCAATATAGAATAACGGATACAAAAGATTCGAATCCCAAAGTATTTGGTGATTAAAAAATAATTTCGCTCAAACTTTAGATCGGTATATATCTTTTGTGTATTTAAGTGTGGTCCTGTTTATTTTGACAGCTCGTTAGAGCCATGCGTAGAATAAAAGACGTGTTCTAAATCTGATTCAGAGCTAGGGTTTATCATATTAATCCTTGAGGGGAGAAAAAACAGAGACAAGCTGATTGGGCCTCTTTTTTAACCCATCGATCATTGTTGATAAATGTACATCCACACTGGAGCCCGCGTGGGCCAGAAAGTTTGGTTCAAAAGTTGTCTTATTGGATGGCTACGTATATATTGTTTTTTCTAGGATCAGCTAATAAAAGGGTCGGGTCTAAAGCGTCTTTGGGCGGAAACGTCCGTAAGCCAAACAAAGCCATGTCTCTTTAAAGTACTATGTAAAATTGTATTTCTCGCAATGGCTTATTTTGTACTGGACGCGGACTATACCCCATCCATTGGATATTAATATATGATATTTTCCATTATAGTATGGTATATGGCCAACCCAACATCTGGTTCGCCTAAGACAAAGTTGCGCAATGCATGCCCCTCGTAAACATACAAATATCACAGGAGTTTGGGACATCTATGTAGTAAAAGAACAATATTCAAGGAATTGAAAAAAATATATATATAGTACAAGGGAAACCCCTGGATACTGACCTCTCTGGTAAACCTGCAGTCCAGAATGATAAACTCCGATTCCCAATGATGACGTGTATTCATTGGTCCAGAACTGAGAAAAACGAAATAAATAGAGTATATTCTGAAACTGGGGGTCGGGACCTGCAAGGGGGCGCACAACAAATTTTAGGGGTCACAAAGAGTACACCGATTTCACATAAAGTAGTATATCTATCGTACTTTTCAAAATTTTTGATTTGAAACGCAGTTATTAAAAAACTAGTGAAAACACAAATATCACAATTTCAAGAGAATACATAGGTTCAAGGTAACTGCGCACTTTCATAACAATGCTGACTTTGATCGTAAGATCCGATAAGAGATGCCACTCGGAAAAGAAGGTTGGGGAAAATTTCAATATCTTTTGGAAGGGGTCGCGACCCTAAAATTTAGGAAGATCTAAATTAAAGTAAATACTGAACAACGCGCTCTCAATAAGAATAGATGTAATAAAATATGGATGTCATACATTGTACAACCATCTGTTTTACAAACTATAAGAAGCAGTTATAAGGTAGTTACTTTATGCTTTATTGCTTACACCTAAAACCTGACGGTACCTGTGGAGTCTTATAGGTCGGTGCATCTTATGTGCAAATAAAATGACAATCTAAGCATTTTACTGAGCGTGTCTTATAACTCGGTTATGGTACTTAAAATATGGTATAATAATATACAAATAGTTTCAAGCTTTATAGTTTATGTGCCACAGCAATATTTAGACATCATTAACGTGCCACACCTTAAAAAGTGTGAAAACCAGACTGGTTAGCGTTGATATCTAAATGTGAGTTTCCAGATACAGGTAATGGATTTTGACATGCTCTTGATAAACCGAATAACGCACGATTTCTATTAGAATTTGTCATCACTCTTTATGGGAACCTGTTTCATTTCACCAGCCTTCAAAATGGCAGAAATAACGATGAGCAATCCCGAATTTTCTAGTGTGCAAAATGAATTTCATCGCCATCAATTTTGACATGCTCATGAGAAGCCGAAAGTTGCATGATTACTAAATAATAATAGAATTTGTCAGCACTGTTTATAAGATGTTTGTTTTATTTCACCAGCCTTCAAACTGGCAGATATAATGCTGAGCAAATACGAATTTTCTGGTATGCAAAATGAATTTTAAGGCCTGGTATAGTTTAGTATCACATCTACTTCTAGTTACCGAGGCTCAACAATTTATGCATATGTCATACCTAATCTGATTGCGTCATCCAAAAAATATGTCATTACGACATCACAGTGATGTAACACGGCACGCCAAACTACACGGATGGTCGTGCAAAATTGTGAGATGATCACCCAAAATGGAGCGAGCTAATTCTCGCATTTTCTTGTTGTAACAATTCTGATATGAGATAGATAGCTGACACTAATCAGTTCATTACCGTTGGCGCAGATGCCATTTCGGACGATCATAGCTATACTTTGGCAAGGGTTATAATGTGTGGCGTCGTAGTATGAGAGAGATAGCTGGCACTAATCAGATCATTCTCGTTAGCGCAGATGCCATTTCGGACGATCATAGCTATACTTTGGCAAGGGTTATAATGTGTGGCGTCGTAGTATGAGAGAGATAGCTGGCACTAATCAGATCATTCTCGTTAGCGCAGATGCCATTTCGGACGATCATAGCTATACCTTGGCAAGGTTTATAATGTGTGGCGTCATTGTGACGTAATTTTTGGATGGCATGGTCAGGGGAGTTAGGAATAACATATGCAAAAATGGTTATGACAAGCCCACTGGTACTTGTGGTATTAAACTACACTGAACCGGAATTTCGGTCGTGGCATGCATTTCCCACCGAATCTAGACTGGGTCATAGACCTTACTGATGCGCGTAACAAAAAAGGGTTTTCTGCTAGGCTTGTTCAAGATAATTCCGCCAAGTCATAAATGAGTGATTGTTAGTGGTAGAGTTTTAAATTTCGAAGTTACTAAAACAAATCCTCACCATATCATACACGTTCAGTATGACGGGTTCTGAAGACATATTTACGATTTGTCCTCAATATTGTTCCAGCGTCGTTACAGAAGTGAAAATTTCTTGAAAGGTCACTGGGTCAAGTACATTCCAAGTAAAACCAATCAAGTGTGACTGAATAGATCAGTGTTACTATGACAACCACGTAGTCTCAAATCACCAGCAGAATCAATAAATCACCAGCTGGGATAGATGACTGCTGTGTTTACATTATAATCAAAATCTAAGATAACTTCAAAGAAAAGAACATTTTTGATAGAAATTAATTGAATATACAAAATTAACTTGAAGGTCCACCTGCCATAGGCTGGTTTACATAACCACAGGTCGGTTAGTATGAGTATAACGGTACCGTAAAACCGGATAATTTCGGGTGATTTTTACTATATTTGAACAATATTTCTGAGAAAGGGATGAACAAAAATTTAGACAATTAAAATTAAACGGATGAATTGACGGAAATACAGGCAAAATTAAGAATTGAAATAGTTCCCACATGGGTCGGTGCAACAGTTCTCGTTGAACCAATGTGTTTCGCAACTGACCCATAGTTTCAGCCGTGCCAATTAGATTATTTCAACATCCACAAGCAAAGCAGGCGTCGTCTCGAGTATCACTTTTCTGATTTTCTCAGAGCCTTCAGTTGATCGGTGGCCAGAGGTTCCTGCCCGGTGTGATTTTCGATCCTCGCTTCCGTTTCACTTTGTGCTTGTGGAATGTAAAGATTTTATGTAGGTAATGAGAGTAGACGTGGCCTGATCTTCCACTTTTTGTCTATTGACGACTGAATAATAACATCCCTGAGGTGATAGATTAGACAACACCGCAGTGGGATTAAACGGGTGGATCCCACAAACTCGGGATCCCGATTTCAGATTTTGGGCAGATGTTGCGGCTGATTTATAAAGAAGTCTTTGTGATAACAGAGGAAAATGTCGCTTCTGGAAACCCCGAATTCGTGATTCTACTCTCCAGTCGGCTACTATTTTTATCCCTTTTGCTTTGAGTCGAGAAGCTGGAGCATATGAGTGCTATTCGGTAGCAGACAGGTAAAATAAACATTGTGTTTGCCGCCTAATTCGACAACCTCCATGGTCAAGTGCGATGACAAATTGTCACTTACGAGCATTTTGTCGTCGTCAAGTTTGTCACATTACTGGACAAATACCTCTTTGAGCCAGCGGATGAAGGTTCCGGTGTTAAACCATCCGTTGGGTGTGGCGCTATATATTGTCTCTTCAGGGCTATCGGTGGTCCAGTACTCGTAGATGTTTAACGCGGAATATACAACAATCGGGAGCAAAAGTCTTCCAGTAGCTGATCCACAAAACATGAAAGATATCGAGCTTTTTGAGAAATCTCGAAACATCTCAACTCTATTTGTACCGGTTGGCACTATTAAACGCTTCCTGCCCGGATCGTCACGAAGATTCGTTTCATCGTAGTTGAAGATATTCGTTGCGGGCAAACGCGTCGCTATTTCTTTAATTTCGTTGAAGCAATTCACTATTTCTTCTGGTCCCACGGCTGCACGTGAGAGCATATTCCCTTTGCATCCAAATCATTTTGGACAATGCTGCAAATGTCTTCCGGCCCAGTGGGATATCCCCAACATGCAAAGATTTCGGGGCTCTTGGCAAATCGCTTCTCTTCTTCATTTGTTAATAAACCAGTCAGTCGATCAATACTTTTAGTGTGAATCTTTTTCAATTTGTCGAATAATGTCAAACTTTTTACGGCATGGCGTTCAGCAGCTTGCGAATGCGACATCCCTGCTCTAACATCAGCCATAGCTTTTTGCAAGTTCTCGCTATTGCAAGAGTTGTAAATAATTTTTGGCATCGTATTGATAGATCAGATATAATATGTTCGCAGGTAGATAGACAAAGTCAAATGACAATAAACGAATAAAAACAACAAAAAGAAACTTCGCCTCATTTTTTCATTTTGCGTCTTAACTGATGTGGTCTAACCTCCTGCTGTGTGCACCTGTGCAGAGTTCCACGCTCACCTGTTAAACGTACCATACTCAGATATTATTAACATCGGCCGCTCGTAAACAGACATATCTGACCATTATGATCGTATAGATCAGGGGTCTCAAACTCAATTCACCTGAGGGCGGCGAGACGGAGCCTTAGTGAGTCCAGGCCGCATCAACGCAAAACATAAATGTAAGTAATTCCGCAATGTACCTTTCCCTGAGCATCTACTTCCTTGTTTATTCCGTAACATTGGCTAATCAGCAAGACTCAAAAGTGACGTAACAATAGACTTTTTCGCAAACGCTCAGATACTTGTCAATCAATCAGGAAGATTTTCAGGCATGTTTGTATACATTACCTCGTTTTTGCATGCTATTTGTTAGTTTTGGGTTGTGTTTCAGAAATTCAAGTATGAATCAAAGAACTCAATGATCATTCTGATTGCTTGGGCGTCGTAGCTTAATTGCAGTAATCAAAAATAAGTCTAGAAATAGCTGTGATAAAGGCTAAACTTCTCTACCGGTACCGTACTGATGAAAAACAGGTTGTTGAATGAAACATTTTAACCGGCTTGTAAGTCTTTGAAATATTAATATTCTCGACAGTTAGCTTTGTTGATGTTACGCTGTTATCTTTATAAGTAATTAATTTTTTATCAAACCTAACACGAACCCAATTGTAACGTTTGATCTTCAACATAATTTCGCTAATTAACATTGAGATAGGTACCGTGATTTGGGTTCGGAATAAAATGAATTCTCCACACGGGTGTATCTAATAACTATCGATTTTGACTTAAAAGCGTAAAATAGTTGTTTTCGTCAGTATACAGTGCCACATGGACGTTGCATTTCACTAGTTTTATATTTTCAAATCTTGACGACATTGGTTACGTAAGAAACGTATTCTCGTTAATGTGATTTTGGCATATGTTCACACATGGACCGAACAAAATACAGAAATATTACACTGGAATGCGTCTTTACCTTAAACGGAAATTGCTAATTTGGCGACGTTGTGCCGGGCGTCAAAATTCGTTTCCGCGACACAGTGTGACGTCGTGTCGGAAGCGAGTGAAAAATGATCTACGTGAGGTTGACGTAACTTTTGACGCAGCGTGAAATCTCAATAATTTTACGAAATTTACACTTCAGAATTTTATGTCTTATTTAAATCTTGTATGACATCTTGCATCACTCTGATAAATTATATAGGCCTACATTGTTGTCGCCCTCTACCGAATGATGGTATTTGACGAGGATAGCTTAAGTAGAAGCGACGCTCTGCGCCGTTGAATAGCGGACAGTCATATTTCGGCAATATTCCCGTTTTTTCGAGAAAAAAATAGTTATACAACATTAAAAAGGTTGAGAACAGATGTAAATATAAAGCTCTACCTGTAAAAATTAAAATTGGCAATATACGACGCTTATTAGTCAAGATATGGCCATTTAAATTTTTTGTCCGAAGTTAGGAACTGTCCGAAGTTAGTCGCTTTTACGGTACGGTTTTGATGGATTTGGGGTTAGGGTTTAAGTAGATATAATTCCGTATAATCAATTAAAATCCGGAACATTAATTTGTGAATATACCGTTAATACTGATTACTGAATAGCGCTATAAAACCATGGCAAGAGCTGCCGCGGTTTGTTGTGGTAAGAACTGCGTGGTAAGAACTGTGGTAAGAACTGCGCCTCATCAAGTCTGTGCTTCCAAAAACAAATACCTGACCAACCAATCTTATACCCGACATGGACTGGTAAACGAAAAAAAAGCCAATATTTAGGCCTCTCCCTCTGGATAAATATGTGAAGTACGGTACCGGTACCGTACCCTACTGCCCTAGGGTTCTCTGCTGCAATAACAGTCATTAAAAGAAACCATCAGAACTGCCTAGAATTTACGTATATAGTCTACCACATGCTGTGTTTCGTCCACTTTGCCTATTCTAACATAGCAGAAACGTCACCACCGCCTTTCCCACTGAGATGATATCAGGACGACAACGAAACACATAGGCTACATACAAATTCCTGTAAATCAGTCTGTTGCCAGAAATCTACTCCCTACCGTATATTGCGTTGACGTCATTCACCTGATTACTGACTTTTGACCCGAGAAAATTGCGAATGAACTTTGGCGAGATTGTAGTTTTGCGAGAATGAATTTTGGTGAGAATGTAGTTTTGCGAGAATTACCTCTGGTGAGTGAGAATGTAGTTTTGCGAGAATGAACTTTGGTGAGAATGTGGTTCTGCGAGAATTAACTTTGGTGAGAATGTAGTTCTGCGAGAATTAACTTTGGCAAGATTGTAGTTTTGCGAGAATGAACTTTGTTGAGTGAGAATGTAGTTTTGCGAGAATGAACTTTGGTGAGAATGTAGTTTTGCGAGAAGTAACTTTGGTGAGAATCAAAGTGACTCACTTTGGTGAGAATGTAGTTTTGCGAGAATAAACTTTGGTGAGAATGTAGTTTTGCGAGAATGAACTTTGGTGAGAATGTAGTCTTGCGAAAATGAACTTTGGTGAGTGAGAATGTAGTTTTGCGAGAATGAACTTTGGTGAGAATGTAGTTTTGCGAGATTGAACTTTGGTGAGAATGTAGTTTTGCGAGAATTAACTTTGGTGAGAATGTAGTTGTGTGAGAATGAACTTTGGTGAGAATGTAGTTTTGTGAGAATGAACTTTGGTGAGAATGTAGTTTTGCGAAAATAAACTTTGGTGAGAATGTGGTTTTGCGAGAATGAAATTTGGTGAGAATGAAGCTTTGCGAAAATGAACTTTGGTGAGTGAGAATGTAGTTTTGCGAGAATGAACTTTGGTGAGAGTGCAGTTTTGCGAGAATGAACTTTGGTGAGTGAGAATGTAGTTTTGCGAAAATGAACTTTGGTGAGAGTGCAGTTTTGCGAGAATGAACTTTGGTGAAATATAGTTTTGCAAGAATTAACATTGGTGAGAATGTAGTTTTGCGAGAATGAACTTTGGTAAAATGTAGTTTTGTGAGAATGCATATCGACCGGCAAAAACAATAATCAATCACTGTTCACTGCTGAAAATTTTCAGCATACCAGTATGTAATTTATCATTTTCTTCTCACTTTATAACTCCTCTATGGTGTGTGTGCGTGTGTGAAATATTTCCATTATTTTATGTGAGTGAGCACGTACCACTTCTTCTTGCCAAAACCTTCCTTTTTATATAAAATATGTAGGATAGGATAGGATTTACATATTTATCCCGGGGGAGAGGAAAGCCGATAATACGGCTTATCCATATGGCGAACCACGGCCTCTCGTCCGGTTACCGGTACCATTCCAAGTCGGGTATGGGATTAGTTTTTACTGTATTGTTTGTTTTCGGAAGCATGGACTTGGTGGTGGAGGAAGCCGTAACCGACCAACGGTTACGTGAACCACCCAACGACGGCGAGGAGTCCAGCAATTCTCTCGCACATAACCATCCCTGCATGGGATTCGAACCTGCGAACCCACGCAGAGTAATTAGAGGTGCGGTGGCGAGCGTATTCCTAACGCTTAGCCCGTTGAGCCACACCGCCGCGCCTGTACGTTTAAAAACCTTATCTACGGTTTTGTTTGCTCTCCTGATTTCATAGTCAGTTTTTATTTATTTGTTTTTATCTGTCAAATGTATTGTTATGCTGATTATGGAGTCGAAATAAACTTATATAAAATTACAACGTATATCAAATTTGTCAGCCCGTTCTGTTACAAGAAGTCATATTTTTTTAGCAAAAAAACTGATTATTTTTAACTACTTCCCAATTATCATTTCAAAATAATGGTTAAATAAGCATCATTATTTCAAAATTAGCTTAGAAATTTTTGTCAGTCAGTCAGTCAGTCAGTAGTTTATTTTATCACATACCAAAAGTACACAGTAGACAAAAATAAATACGAATCACATATAAGACAATACTTTCAGTGTGAAGGGAGGCGCGATAAACCAGAAGAGGTTATAATTTTGATGATGTTGAGGATCGTCTTTATTGCTGTATATATTATATACTCGTTGATAATGAACCTAAAAACCTGAAGGTGTATGATCTACTGAAAACACATGCCCAAATGTTGATATTCTATAAAAATGCTGTTAAAAAAATTTAAAGAAAAAAAAAATTTAGTTTTTACATCAAATATTTCCAACCGGCTTTTAGCATACAAAGAACACATTGAACGTTGTTGATGGAGTTTAATGTTGTAGACATAGAATACAGAAGATTGTTAAGACATGACGACATCGAGAAACGAGACGACGCTTATCAAGACGATTCGACTCCTAATACAAGACCTTTTAATACCTCCCCTCTCCAATATCCAATTGAAACATTACCATATCTGATCATCGATCCAACTATATTTTTGGTTGTCATCTGTTTGTCCAATTACAACGGGCCCTGTATCGATCCAATTCATGAATTTAAAGAAATTCGAAATTAGCATTTTCCATTCTTTTTAATGTATTTTACCTGAAATAGCGAATTTATCCCTAAAGGCTCGCTGATCTCGTAAAATTCCGTGAAACGGTTCTATAGAACCGCGTGCGAACCCCACCACTGCGTATATCCCATTTCAGGGCGAAGGGAAACGCGGAAAATCATGAATCATAAATCCTAGCCCAAGCAACAATGCGCGCAAACAATCCCCACTCTATGAATAACTGTTATACCTGGAAAAACCAGAATCTCTACGTCAGGGGGCGGCAACCTAAGGCCTTCGGGAGTAATATAATCCGTCACACTTCACTGGATTATAGAAACAAAACGGTGCTCCAGAAGTATGCGCACCAAGATGTCGCACAACCTGAATCCTAACCGGTACACACTTACTATGTTCAGGTTGTGCGCCATCTTGGTGCGCATACTTCTGAAGGTCCAACAAAACAGCTGTTTTGATGATATTATTCTTTATTTAGCAGAATTTAGTGTGCGAGACTTGTTGACTAAATTATATCCTAAGTACATAATTCTCAATTACTCGTTTAATGAGCTTAAATATTAACTATAATTAGACAAATGGCCACAAAACGCAGAAAAGTTAGAAATTAGAGAAATGTAACACTGCTTGATTTTCATTATAAAAAGTATCATTCGTTCGGTTTTACAACTTTCTAAAACTATGCGCTGCACACCGATGACTTGCAACCCTTAATTTTGGCCCGCGAGCGACAAAAGGTTGCCGACCCCTGCTCTAAGTCCTCGCCAGATATTTCCCTAACAGTATAACTTGAAAATTACGCAAAAAATCCACCCTTTCCCAATGCTAAGAAATCATATTAAACTTTTTTATTGCATCACAATAGAGAACAATGGATGAAAAAAAAATATAAAAGAAACGAGAAATACCTGAAAGAAATTTTATTTGGGCCGCGATTGGCCGTGTGAGAACCTTAATTTGAACTGGAAATAACCAGGAAAGCGTGGGGTAGGGGGAGGGGGAATTACCACCAGCCACTAAGCTATTTATGACAATAGCCCAATATGATAGTGAATGCATGAAAGGTATCTACGAAAAACGAAAGATCTTTTTTTTACGAGACAAACAACCCCCCCAAAAAAGTCCGAGGAAATGGTTGGCATCACTCATAACAAGGTTCTGTGGGAGCTGCAACTTCAAAAAGTTGCTAATTTTGGAAGTACAGACTTTTTGGTACGACATTGCCTACTAAATTTACCCTGCGTATCCCACCCATGTGTAATCGGTGACGCTGTTGCCAGCGCTTGAAAAAATGCTACAGCCAGTTTTAAAGACGCTCTTGTAAATTTGAAAGCAAAACTTTAAGGTAATTCTGACAAATTTTGGGAAAGAAAAAACTAACATCGTTCACAATGAGAATCTATGATACAAAACGACAAAATAAAAACAGAACCCATGGGGTTAAAGTTCATGTCCAATGTCAGGAAATCAACCAGGAAGTCTATCAATGCACTTTTGCATAAAACAGCTTTCATTCAATTGTGATGTCATATTATCTTTGTGACTAACAATGCAGATCAAATTTGAATTCAGGTATTCAACCAATCAGAACAGTTTCTGATTTAGGAAATTTTATTTTCAATTTGCTGATATAAAAGTAACCACAAATGGTAGCTTAGTCTTGCATTTCCTCGGGTAAATCGTGAGGGTTGACCATACCCGGTACAGAAAGTTGAAGTTTTCGTTTTTCTTCTTGTGCGTTCGTCAACGCTTGCTCGCGCTCTTCAAGGAAAAGATCAGAAGTGTCTTGGCCGGAGAATTCCTGTGAGAAGAGCGAGTTTAATTTGATGTTAAAATTTCTTCACAATTATTAGATATATAGAATTGAAAAACTTTCATATTGGTTTTACTAATGAATTGAAACTGCTTAGTATTTCAGTAGGCAATGAGGCGCTCCAGAAGTATGTGCACCAATATGAAGGTGATTAATTTTGTTTGTCTATTTTACATCAAGTTGTGTAAAGGGACTGAAACCTATGGGCAGAGGTATATCGACATGGCTAACACAAACAGTCCTCAAACTCGTAATAGAACTAACTAAAATAAGGAAAATCAGAATAAAATTATGGCCTAACCCTAACCTGGTACACATACTACGGGAGTACCAGCAATGACATCATCATGTGGGTGATGTCATCAGACTTGGGGTTTTAAAAGTTACAGAAGATTTTGACATCATAAGTGGTACCGGCAATGACATCATCATGTGGGTGATGTCATCCGACTTGGGGTTTTAAAAGTTACAGAAGATTTTGACATCATAAGTGGTACCGGCAATGACATCATCATGTGGGTGATGTCATCCGACTTGGGGTTTTAAAAGTTACAGAAGATTTTGACATCATAAGTGGTACCGGCAATGACATCATCATGTGGGTGATGTCATCCGACTTGGGGTTTTAAAAGTTACAGAAGATTTTGACATCATAAGTGGGTTTGGTTTGTTAACATGGGGAGTAATATTCGTTGCAGAAAAAAAAAATTCGACAGTATTCTATTCTATATAGATATGACATCATCAAACTAATGCGCCCATCTTGAAAACGCATGAAAAAGTATTTGATGATTACTGGTTCTCAACCAATGGGCCATGGCCCACTGCTGGGCCATAGAGGCAATTTCAAGTGGGCCACAAGTGTAAAAATTACTATGGTTATTGAAATGTTTAGTTTCATCTGCGTCATTATAGTAGTATTGTAGTAGCAATGAATGATGCTGCTTCTCATTTTAATTATGAAAATGAAAGTATTTATTTTTGCAAACAGAGTCTTGTTTTTCTTGTAGTTTTTTCCTTGACATGAGAAAGTTAGTTGGCCGCAGATTTTTTTATGCAACGAAAGTGGGTCACGAAAGAAAAAAGATGTAATCATTAGGCAATGACATCATCAAGTGTGTGACATCATCAATTCAACATGTTTCTCACCTTTATTTGAACAAGGAAATCCCTCAAATGATCTTTAAACAGCGGGATGTCGTGATTGAGACTGAATAAACCTTGCACGAATATCTTGATTTGAGCACTGAAACAAAAAATATAGTTAGATTGCGTCCCTAATGGAAGTAGTGACAATTATATTAAAAAAGCGGCCTTATGTTATCGATCACAACTTCCTCAGTACTCTTTCCATTCCTACTAGAGAATTTTGGCAAACTTAAGAAAGCTCACACAAGTATTTGAGATTTGATTCGAAAAAACAATTCGATTTAATTCTGAAATCATCTGGTATTCAAATATGCCCTGCTCGATTAGCGAGTCAGTTGCTGCTTGCATTTATTCTATAAATCTATTCTAAAAACAAAGGCACTCACTCTTGTAAATGCGGGAATGCAGTTTTCAGTAAATTTGCGACGTAATCGTGAACGAAAACAACATTATCGGTTGCGTCCGGGTGCAGTGGAGCGGTTATTCTGCCATTTTCCACAAGACTGAACATGTAGGCTAAGATTGTTGCATGCATTGTGAGACCTGTGGGAGGATATGGTTCATTAGTCACAAAAAAGTAGGTAAGGGGACTTGATTATACGATAAGATTGTAGGGGGGGGGGGGGGGGGGAGGAAAGTCAGCAAGGTGATTTGTTTGGGGGGGAGGGAAGCATATGAAATGGTCACATAATTAACATAATCACAGTGGCTGCTAGTACAGGGACTTAGTAGGAGGAGTAAGGGGATAAAAAATCCAGTACCTGTACTGGGCGCGACAAAAAAAAAGGGGGGGGGAAGTAGGTAAGGTTGTCCAATCATAGAATAGGATTTTTTCAGTGGGAGAGTCAGCAAAATGGCAAAATTAATCATTGGAAAGGATTTTCAGTTTTTTCATTTATCTCAGGAGAGACGATAAGACTGAGTAAATCGTATGACGACATGGCTTTTAGTCAGGTTACCAGTCAATGTTGGATATGGAATTAGTTAGCCAGTGATTAGTTGAAGAAGCCTAAACTTAACAGAGAAAGCTTCAACTCAGTGGTTCCCAACCTTCTATGGCTCGGGCCCCCCATCCGGAGGTTTTTGGCCCTCATGGCCCCCGTTTATCATTCCAGCGGTATTTATAGTGTTATTTTGATTGGTGGATTCATAATCCCATTATGTTAAAACAATTCATCCTCAACGAAGTTAAAACACCCTGTGAAATAACCTTATCAAGCAATGTAACTAGTAAGAACAGGGAAATTTTCTTGTGAATAAACAAAACAAAATTAGTTTTGCACCTAGCATCAACTGCACTGGGCCCTTGGTCGGAAACTGCTGGCATATAAAAAACAAAGTTACCTGCAGTATGCGAAGTGTCCGTTACAACGCTGAACACATGTTGTAAAATGTCTGTGAAATAGGTTTGGAAAAAACTTTGCGATGCTTGTTTCTCTTGTGAGATGTTCTGTAACAGCTGATGAAGAATATTCAGGCCTGGAATAAAATAGTTTGTTTTAATTATGAAGCTATAAACCAGTATTCTCAAACAGTGAGGCGCGCCCGACAAGGGAAGTATGTGAAACAAGATGGCGGACACCGGAACGTAGTATGTGTACCAGGTTAGGGTTAGGCCGTAATTTCAGGTACAAATACCACGGGAGTCACTTGGCTAGTCCCCGAACTCAAAATAGAACTAAAATAAGAAAAATTGGAATAAAATTATGAACTAACCCTAACCTGGTACACATACTACGTTCCTGTGTCCGCCATCTTGGTTTACATACTACAGGAGTACCCACATTTTTGAGAATTTGATTTTGGATATTTACTTCCATCGTATTTTTGGAGTGATTTTTGAATAAAACATAATTTCACCTTACTATGTATTATCTAGTTTATTGTTAGCTAGTTATTTTTGAGGCGGGCCGCGAGATTCTAAAAGGGGGTGCAGCTTGAAAAGTTTTTGAAAGCACGAACCATATACATTCATTTTCAGATGCATGGGTTTTATGGCAGAAGGTCCAACAATTCTCTCGCACACAACTACTCTCTACAGGATTCGAAACTGCGAACCCACCCACTCAGAGTAATCGAACATGCGGTGGCGAACGCATTCCTAATGCTTATCACAGTGTGACACACCGCTTCAAATTCAAATCAACCAGCGGTTGCGATAACCATCCTATGAGAACAAGGAGTCTAATGTTTCTCTCGCACACAACTACTCCTTACAGGATTCGAAACTGCGAACCCACCCACTCAGAGTAATCAAACATGCGGTGGCGAACGCATTCCTAACGCTTATCACAGTGTGACACATCGCTTCAAATTCTCTTTTTTCACGGGTGAATTAACATGAACTAACCTGTGTCGGCAACATTTCTCATCGTATGTTTGAACGCCCAGATGATCGAGTCCAGAACCAGTTTAAATTGTGCGGGGGGAATTGAAAGCAAAGCAGGAAAGCAGTGGTTGTTTACAGCCTGCAAAAAAAAAGCAATATTGTAAATGGGGGAGGGGTCAGAAAAAAAGGAGGGAGTGATGGGGTAAAAATAAAAAAGAAGTAATGAGGGTAAAAAAAATGAATTTGCAATGTAATATCCCAGCTTGTGATGGGGAGAACTAATCAAGCTTGAATACTGTTAAAAATAGAAAAAAAGTTTATCCAATCCTCCCCAGTAAAAAGAAATTACATATAAATGGGGAGTTAAAGAGGGGTGAGAAAAAAATGAATTATTATTTGTTATGTAATATCGATACTTTAATTGCCTAGTGTAGGAAGAAATACTCAAACTCAAATCTCCAAAAAATTTTTTGTTAGCCCCCCCCCCCCCCCCCCCCCCAATGGGAAAATTCTTTCAAAACTTTCAAAAATTTTTTTTAACACTACCACGCAAATTTATTTTTTAAAACCCTCTAACAGTGAGTTTCGGTACTCCTGAAGTATGCGCACCAAAATGGCGCACAACCTGAATTCAGGTTGTGTACCAAGTTAGGGTTCAGGTTGTGCGACATCTTGGCACGCATACTTCAGGAGTACCGAAAAATGTTTGAGCCTCGCCAAAAGTTTCATTTCATAACTCCAATGATTTGAAAAAATGAAAAAAAAAAAAAATAATTTTTTCCACCCCCCCCCCCGATAATAATTTTTTTATAATCCTCCCCGTACCAACCTGTAATAGTAAGAAGAAATTGGTTCTGTATTCTGGAAACTCTTCGAAATCCTTGTTAATCATTTCTAAGGTGCATTCAAAAACTGCGTCAAATATTTGCGGAATTTCTCTCGTCAGCGCAGCCTAGTGGATAAAAAGTACGATAATAAATAAACAAAACCTTCACTCAGACTCAAGTCAAATTTCAAGACCCCATTCTCAAGCAGGAATGAAGAATGAATTGGACTTGTTAACCACATACGTCCATGAAGTCCTTTTACAATTTCAATTTTGTTATGAAGTCAGTTCTCGATATATCTTAACCAGGTTTGTTGTTTTTATTCAGTAATTTTTAAAATATTTTTCCTTCATTTAATACATCTGTGAGGGCCAAAACAATAAATGGTATCGATAAATTCCATTTGCAATTTTCAGGACTTTATGGAGGCCCTATATATCAGTCAGGCCCGAATCAAAACCAAACCAAAATCGAATTTTTATATTTTAGCTAAAATTAGCTCAAGGAATTTATTGAGATTGCGATTAAATTTAGTTTTGGCACAAAGATTATTGTTTCCAACTTTGCTAAATATTGTTCATAAAATGTAACTTTTTTGAGTCACAATTAAATGGCCTGCCAGTCTAAGTGGGCAACATTTTTGGCCCCTGGTTTAAAAAACTTGCCCACCAGCGCTATATATCATACATTTTGCTAAAAATAAAATATTTTGAAACTTTCAAATCCCTCTAGTGGCCAACTTACCTCTAATTTATGTACAATGGTTGCGATTGTGCTCAAAACTTCCGGTTCACGAGCAGCGGGCACGTTCGACCGATAATCCATCAGAACTGCTTCTAACAAGGGAGGAACAAAGTTTTCACTGACCTGAAAATGGAGAGTTATGATTGGTTAATATATTACCATGGCAACATAAAAAATTACAGCTAAAATTAAAACACTTTTTAATAGATTTGCAATTATTTTGAAACAGTGTGGAAAATTGGAATTCGGGCATTCTAGCTTTTTCTCCTAGCATAATCCGATGCAAGTAGGTAGATTGAATTATTTTTGGACGCAATGTGGAAATACGTATTGTTTCGTTATTATGTTGATGTTGTTGTTAAAGTACTTGTTCTAGTTGCAATCGCTTTGCTTTGAAATTTTCAGAGGTTGGAGATTGTATTTTTTGCTGAAGGCTATTACTTTTATTTACTCCATCCGTGGGCTTTATGGAAACTTTGATGACGTCATCACAAAAAACAAACAGCCAAAAGAATTTTTTGAAATAAATAAGGATAATAGCTTTCTAGCGAAAAATTAACGTTTAACCACTGAAAATTTCAAAGCAATTGGTCCAGTAGTAAATGAGAAAAGTAATTTTCTCCAACTAGAAAAAAAAAACGGGAAACGGACTTTGTGTCCAAAACTCACCATATCGGGGTCATTAGACCTGCTGACCCATCCGGAGATGAGTTTTAGCGTTTCTTTTTTGACAGTTCGCATGCTACGGATGAGTGATTGCTTCATGACCCCTTCACCTTGCTGCATTATCGCCGCGGAAATATTCTCGCTAAGACATTTGTAGACGTTCAACATGTCCAGGTAGATCCTCCCCAGCTGAAAAAAAAAGATTTGTTCAGAATGAGGATTTTTAATTTGAATGAATTCTAAAATGATATTATCGAATACACAATACCTGCTAGGCGTTTTAAAAGTATGCTTACCAAGATTGCGCACACCGGAACGTAGTATGTGTAACAGGTTAGGGTTAGGCTAAAATTTTATTCCAATTTTCTTTATATTAGTTCTATTACGAGTTCGGGGACTAGCCAAGTGCTCCTGTAGTATTTATACCTGAATTATGGGCGAACCCTAACCTGGTACACATACTACGTTTCAGTGTCCGCCATCTTGGTTCACATACTTCGGGAGTACCAATTGCTGTTTCGCAACTTATGTGTACCGTTAATTATTTTTAAATTAAATCATGTTAAAAAAATTCAACTTATTGAATATACATTGGCCCGTAAAGAAAATGAATTACACTAGAAATGAATATGGTATTACATATTCAGAAAATCATATTTTTAGAAAATATTTAAAAAAGAGTTACCTATAGGATGTCCATGAAGTGCTAAATTTTTTTAACATTGCAAAGGAAATTTATCCACACCATATATTGTTTTCGCCCTCACAGATGTAAAGTAAAAATATTCAAAACAATTACTGATTAAGATATATTGAGAACTGACTTCATAGCTAAATTGAAATTGTAAAGGGACACCCTGTACGCTATTATCCAAGCAAAGCATTGAAATTGTTTTATCTCCGAGGGCCCCCCTGAAGGGCCGAGGGCCGAATTCTCACCTGAAGCACGAAATAATGTCCGACACTTTTGCAGGCTCGTACGTTTGTTTTTAGAATACTTCCGAGCTGTTTCACGGTTGCTGGATCTTTCAAGACATCAACGTTCTTCGTAGCTTGCTGGATGATGCTGTCCCAAACCTAATAGAGCAAATTATAAGTCAAGTCGTGCTTTAATCAAAAAATAAAAAATCATGAAATTTGCCGAAATAGATAATAAATGTCAAGTTACATAGACGAAAAATAAAAATAAAAAAATTTGACAAAAATCTTCAAACATAATGGTCCAATTTTGGTTCAAAAAAACTGGTTTCAAGATTCTCCCAAAGCCTAAAACTGGGTAAAAAAACTTGAGAAAAAAACCTGAAAAATTATTCCCCCCCCAAGTAAAACGTCGAGGGGGTGGGGGGAGTATTAAAGTTGAGCTACACAAAATTTTTTCAGTTATAAATTCTAAGCTGTTTTTTATTGCCGACATTTCCCAAACTGTATGAAGCCTCGTTCAGAGAAAAAAGCTAAATAAACGAAATTTTCCAAACCTAATAAAAGAGTTCAATTCTGATTTAAATAGAGAGGCGTTAAAGTTGGACCCCACAAAAAATTTAAAAAAAAAAGTTAGTTCCAAGTTTGAAATAGATAAAAAAACTTTCTTGCAAATATCCTTTTCTAAATTAAAAACCTGACAAAACAAGAGCAAGTCAAAGGAGGGGGGAGTATTAATTCGAAAATTTCTAATAATTGTCATAAAATTTTAACCTGGTTTGGCAGCATCATGTATTTCTCGATGAGATGTTCCTGTACATTGGTGTCAGTCTGCGCGCTGATCATGTAACCGACTGCCTCGTAGAATGTGTGAACCTGGGAACAAAGTCTCAGAATAAGATGCCACAGTCATGACGTAAATTAGATGACACCTGACGTGACATCATTGATATGCCACATCAGGTAATGCCACACAAAAATGACGAATGCTATGGCACTTTTGATGTGACACTAAAAAGTAACAAAAAATATGCCATGACACCAAATATATGTCACATGTCAGAATATAAAAAACATGGGGCATGTTGTGGCACAGAAAAGGATGTCACAAAAATGTGTTATATGCCGTGACAGTAAAAAATATGTCACACACCATAAAAACTAAAAATATGCCTCCTTTATGACATAAAAGACATGCCCAGAGTGACCTGATAACATCTGTGACACCAGAAAAAGCCACCCACCTGTTGCGGCTGAAGATCACATATAATGGTGCTGATGTTGTTCAGTATTTCTTCGATGAAAGGCATGACCTCCCCGGCCTGAATTTGTACGAAATGTCGCCGACATTTCTGAGCGATTTTTATGAAAGTGTCGCAGGCCATATCTTGGACTCCATCGTGAGTTTCTACAAAAAAAAAAGAAAATTGAAATTTTAAAATTGGACGCAGAGATGTCGTTCTAAGGACTAGGTATATGGCTGACGCAGGGTGTATGTAATAATTTGGGTAAGCAATACGAAACTAATAATATCCCGGTCTTTACAAATGAAAGTAGCATTTTACATATCATTAGATAGATATCAGCTGCTGTATAACAGTTGTTTCCAACCTTTTCTTGGCTTGTGCCTGGCCCCCTTTCGGAGGGTTTTAGCACCCATGCCCCCCTGTTTATCATTTCAGTGATATTTGTAGCGTTATTTTGATCGGTATAATTCAAATCCCATTATGCACAACAAAGTGGAAACGTAGTATGTGTACCAGGTTAGGGTTAAGCCATAATTTATTCCAATTTTCCTTATTTTAGTTTTATTACGAGTTCGGGGACTAGCCAAGTGACTATCCCATAGTATTTGTACCTGAAATTATGGTCAACCCTAACCTGGTACACATACTACGTTCCGGTGTCCGTCATCTTGGTTCACATACTTCGGGAGCACCCAAAATTGTCCTGGTGAATTAATATCCGTAGGACTTACCGTGCATGAATTCAAATAATTTATTAACGACAGTCTTCAGAAACCTCCAGTGCGCTCGTAAAAACCTTGGGTATTGTCCGACTACGTACATGATGTTCGACGCGATGATCGCTTTGTTGTCTTTTCCACGTTTTTGTTCGCAAAGTCCAAGCAAATCTGAAATGAGAAAAGATTCAAAGTTCTAAACTAGGCATTCTGTCATTAAAAGTATTTAAAAATGTATATATTTTCTGTTTGTGCACGTAAATATTACTCCAAATATCAAAAACAGTGTCAAACACTTGACAATAATTTCAGAAAAAATATTAACAATAACAAACATTCAAAAACAATTTCAACTTTCGCTTCCTGACGCTCGAACAGAAAATGCCACAGAACTTATAACAATTCTAATTTCAAAAAATTACCCTAATTATCAAAAAATAAACGATACTGACTACAATTCCACCCTTCTTAAAAAATGACTAAATAAAATTCAGCATGCAAGTTTTCCTGAATACCAAAAATATCCAAGTTAAAAGCACTGAATCCAATCCCCACCATGGCCCAACCCTCTCAAATAAAAAAATTTAAAAATTTTTTTTTGATAAATATTGGGAAAAAACTTTTGCTGTCCCAATGGAGGACCTGATCAATATTGCAACTCCTCTAACATCCCCCCTCAAAAAAAAAATAAAATTTGAAAAATCAAAAATAACCTGAATAAAACAGCTCACATTAAAAAAAAATCGAAACAGCTCAATGAAAAAATTAAAACCTCTCCAAATCCCAACCTCAAATTCCCCCTACCTCCCTCACCCAAAAAATAAATAAAATCCAGAACATTCCTGACTATGCTGATTACATCCACATACCTCCCCCCCCCAATTCTCAAAAAAAAATCAGAAACACCCCTGACCACACCCACATACCCCCCAAAAAATAAAAATCCGTAACACTCCCACCTCTTATCACTGTCACCAGGAATCTTTTTTCATCTTCTTCATGCATCGCTCCACTGATGCTTCCGATCGCCCAACACAAAGTGTTTAAATTCTTCCACGACCATTCCGTTCCGTTAACTTGGTTGTGTAGTTTCTCCGTCATGATTCGTTCAGTATCCATGTAGTCAAGATGCGTCAAATAAACTGTAAAAAAAGTAAAAAATATAAATATTTACTCCCATTTTTATAATTTCCTTTCTTTGTAGTGTATCAGTGGTAACTTGTAAACTTAATAAACAAAAACACTATGAAATCAGTTGTCTGCAACGCAAAATAAACTGAGAACTTAAAAAAACAAAAAGTTCCCCCCCCCTTTAATTATTCATATATTTCCCTTCCTTTAATTAAGCATAATATATCATTGCTCAACTTGTTATAAAGAAAAATATTTTCATGCAACAACAAGGATTCGAACAACACCAAAACGAGAATATCGGTCTTATCGATCAAAAGTTAGGGGATCCCCCAAAACAGCGCTCTTACTCCATAGTGACACTTTGTGTCCCATCACTAATTAATTGATAACTCGCTAATTATAAGACATAATCCATCCAAAATCAATAGGCTTCTGATCCGAGCTATGGTGAATGCACATGCAAAATCTGAAGCAGATTCAATCTCGCTTTCGTGAGATATCGCGTGCATCTAACAGACAAACAGACAGACAAATACCTATCAACATACTTACCGATTTAAATCGATAAGTAAAAAGGCTGCAAACACTCACCCAGAGTTTCTCTCATGTTTTTATATAAGTTAATGGAATCCGTGTCTTTCATGAATTCGCGAACGACCTCGCCCTGTTCGTTCTCAACAACTAATACTTCTTCCGGTTTTGCCATTCGACTAATCATAACCAATCGAACCTAAGAAAAAAGTAAGGAATTTGAATTGTAGAGAGCAGGGTTATACATACATTTCAACGAATATACACTGGCACATAGACAATAGACATTGGTTAACGTGATCAAGTCCACGCAACTGAAAATCGTAATTGTTACAAAATCCTTAACAATGGGAGTGGTGAAGTTGTGATACACACTATAGTACAGGGGTGGGAAGCTTCTCTAGTCGGCGGGCCAGATGTGGGAAAATGAAGTTCTTGGCGGGCCGGATTATTACATGAATAATTGAATAGTATTCAATATCTTAATCACATATTTATTTGCTAATGCAAGAAAGAAAGTTATAAATCGCGTTTAAAGTAAAGTTCAAACTGCAAAAAAATAGAGACCAAAAAACACATAAATTTATGCTAATGTACTAAAAGTGTAATAATGTAATATCATAATGTACTGATGTACAGTCAAGTTGGCTCCAAGTTGTGTGCTTTTTTGACCAGTTGTGAAATAATCGAATCCTGAAAACACAAACTGGCGTAAGAAAAAATTCTTTTTAACATACCTTTGATAACAACGGCAAATATATTTGTCTTCGTAACGCCATGTTTGAGTCGCTTCCCATAATAGGAATCGATGTTCCGGCGGAGAATGGGCTTCCGCGATATAAATCTGCTGAAATCTGGTTCCAATATTCTAAGCAGATCTTGAAAATTTCTGTTTCTTCGACTTCTGAGATCAAAACGAGATACTCCAGGCCCTGTGTGTGAAGGTGTACCCAGTTAGAAACAGGCTGTGCGACCTTTAATACATGGGGGGGCATACACAAACAACGTGGGGTAACTGCGGGTCGCACCATTATTAAACATAGGGTGCTCCCGTAGTATGTGTACCAGATAAGTGTTAGCCATAAATTTATTCTGATTTTCCTTATTTTAGTTCGGGAACTGTCTGTGTTATCCAAGTGAATATACCCCCTGCCCATAGGTTTCAATTACTTTGCACAACTTCCTAGTAGTTTTCTAGTAGTATAAAAACAATCTCACATCAAGCAGTAGAGAATGCAGTTCCGATTTCTTTTCCACCAATGCCACATGCTCTTTGAAGAATATACAAAGGAATAGAGCGAGATTTTGGATGAAGTTCTGATCGTCGTTTGAGCCACTCGCGTAAGCCGACTTCATGTTTATTGTCGTCGGGAGCATCTGAAATAATTTTAAATTAATTTATAAAATACAATTTAAATATTCAAGGTAAGTACTCTTTTATTCGAGACAAAATACCAATTTGTTTATAAATTTCTTGTTATGTTTCGCGAAATGTTGATTCAAAATTCAATTTAAATTTTTGAATTTGAACTTTTTAAAAATTTGGGCCGATATTTCATGTCAGTGGCCATCTCAAAAACATAGATGACTGAAGTTTCATAAATATAGGGCGTCTATAAAGTCATATTTTTTACAATTGCAAAGAGGATTCATCGATACCATATTTGTTTTGGACGTCACAGATGTTTTATTAAATGGAGTAAAAACACTTAACAATTACTGATTGAAAAACAATAAACCTGGTTAAGATATATTAAGAACTGACTTCATAACAAAATTGAAATTGTAAAGGGACTTTTTGGACACCCTGCATACTGTTGAATACGGGTCAAATCTTATACTTTTAACAAAAACTAATTTCCAAATTTGATAATCATGATGATAAGCCGGAATCAAAACTTAAAAATATTTTATAAAGACAGAACTTTCAAAATTCAAATCAAACAAAACCGGAATAAACCTGTTCTAACCTGTTTCAGTTGTGTCATTGTCAGTGAAAATAACTTTGTGAATTCTTCTTCATATTTTTGTACGTTTACTCCAGCTGTGAAAAATTGAAGGTTAGTTAATTTAGTTAGCGTCGGTTTCTGAGAAAAAAGCTGATAAAACTGCTTAATTAAATGGTGCAGAAAATAAACAATTTTATGAAAAGTTGCTTATAATTCTTCCAACAGCACTTTTTTGATTTTTACGATTTACAAAATATAAAAATTCAAAGATTCGTAATCACAAGATACTCACCGATCTCCGTTAAGCATTTGAGAGTAATGTTTCTAAACATCGGCAATCCAAGGAATTTATAAACGAGGGTTGTTATGAGTTCGGTTTCAAAAATATATCCGAGAGGAATCCAGTTTAGGAAAAGTAGGAGAGTATTGAGAGTGGCGTTCACAAGGGGAGCGTTTTGAGAATTATCCTGTAAAAAGGTGATAACTTCGAATTAGAAAAGTCGGCCAAAAAGTACTGCATGCCAATGTTGTTTTTATATACCAAATGTTCATGCCATTCGCTTTCGAACAAGCACATCTTTATAATTGTTGGAAATTATTTAAGTTAAGTTAACTGACGAAGACTCCAAATGCATTGGTAACTAGACAGCATATATCCTACACATTTTATTGGGTCTCTACGGAACTAACCAATATATTGTGATTGTGACTGCAAGAAAGTTGAGGAGCAACTTTTCAATCAGTTACATGCGCATTCTGTTATCAAGATTTCAGATTTCAAGATCTCGGGAGTTCTTGAGTTGGGGACCTAGTCGAATTTTTTTGTCATATAAAATATCAAATATCCATGGGTATCAGAAAATTTCTTACAAAAAATGTAGAAAAAATAGTCTTATATTGGCTTCAGAAATCTTGAAGTAGTAAAAAGTTGAAATATAATAGTCCATTAGTTGCAGAGAAAAGAGAACAAGAATAAGGCAACAACTTAGAAAAATGATACGTATGTCCGTTTTATCTACAATAATCAGAAACAAACTGGCCAAAATGAAAGAAAAATAAAGTAATAGCCTTCTCTTAGTATCTTCTCCTATCTTTAATTGACAAGTTGACGAGAAAAGCGTTTTTGCTACAATAACACAAGAAGAATCTAGCAAACAGTTGACATTTTGTGTCCAATAAATCACTACTTACCATGACGAACTGGCATAGCTGAAACACCTGTGCGAATTCATTACACATGCTGTCTTTAAGATGCTTTGCTTTTGCTTGAGTCATTTGCCCCTGGGAGAAGTCAAATACTTCCTCACTATAGAAAAAAGGGTGGAATTTGAATTTGTGTGAGTCTTAAAATAAGATTTATATTTATACTGGGATGGAGAAACGTCAATAAACCAGCATAATCATAAGGATTACCTCGAACTCTCGTCCGGTTACTAATCCATGTCGGGTATGGGATTAGTCAGTTATTTGTTTTCAGGTGCATGAACTTAATGGTGGAGAAAGCATAACTGACCAGCGGTAAACCACCCTACGACGGCGAGGATTTCATCAATCCGATCTCTTGCGGTTTCAGATACCCAGTCTACGTACAGGGGGCGGAGTAGAGTAATCTAACTCAATCAATAAGTGTCACTGTGGCACTCACTTACCGAGATTGAGAACAAATACGAGTCCGTTCATTCGGTGCTACTCAACTATTTTTACCAAAGATCTGCATACTAAACTACTGAAGTTCGGTCTTTACAGAAATTATGTTTTGACATCCTTAAATGCGCACTTCCTTTAACAATGATTATTCGATAATCAAAATAGCGGTAATCGCATTGTTACTTATCGATTTTAATCTGTAAGTATTTGTCTGTCTGTTAGATGCACGCGATATATCACGAAAGCGAGATTGAATCTGCTCCAGATTTTGCATGTGCATTCATCATATGTCGTACCAAGAGCCTATTGATTTTGGATGAATTATGTCGTATAATTAGCGAGTTATTAATTAATTAGTGATGGGACACAAGGTGTCGCTATGGAGTAAGAGCGCTGTTTTGGGGGATCCCCTAACTTTCGATTGATAAGTCTAAAATATAGAATTAGGCACGGTCCGAATCGAATACTCGAAAGGTCCGAATTCGAACAGCGACTGCCAGTTGACTACACCTCGAGTCTTACTCAAGTCGAGTTGATGACCCAAACATTCTCAACACAGATAAAAAGTAATTTATTACGAACACTTCTCACCTTAATAATTTCAAGATAACCATGTTATTCTGGCAAAGACTTTCGTTAGTTCTGCTCGCCCCAACAATATCGCTGATGAACGTTGGCCAGTTCTTTGGCCAATCTTGCTTCAGAATTTGAACCTGTGAACGATAGCATGCATTGAAGATATTTGCAGTATCAAAGTGTTCGCGGCATGCAATAGCCATCTGCAGTGGTGTTCATCCTTAAATGAGACTGGAGCCCTTTTTAAAGGACACCATTCACTTGTGTCCCTCTATTATTCCGTAACAATACCCGATTACTTAAGCTAAAAAACAAAAACTTACCAGAATTACGTTCAATTTTCCTAGATAGGTTTTCTCTTTATCGGCCAGCCCTGGATCGGAGGACGTCTTGATAATGAGGGCCACAATGTACTTCTTTATGCCTGAAAATTGATTCAAAAATATGAAAGCGCAAACTTAGCGTTGGGGATATAGAGTCTGGTTAACTGTACAATCAATTACACTCCGGCATGGAAAATTGGCGCTCCAGAAGTATGTGTACCAATATGGAGGTACCTAATTTTGTTCACCTGCTTTACATTAGGTTGTGTGAAGGGACGGAGGCCTATGGGTGGTATGTTCTCACTTGGCTAAGACAGTCCCCGAACTCGTAATAGAACTAAAATAAGATAAATCGGAATAAAATTATGGCTTAACCCTAAAAAATACCTTCGCACTGATTTCTAGGCAAAACCTTCCATCTTGTCTTGATCACGTTTTCCAATATTTGTAGAGCGTAGTACTGCAAGGAAAAAACAAAATTGAGACTGATAAGTCAAAAACGGTCAAAATAAATTTTACATCATTTTGTATGCTCTTTCATAACAAGGCTCTATCCCAGCCATTCAGTAGTTTTCAAACTGTGTGTGTCACTACTAGTTCGTTACAAGATGATTTTGATAGCACTGCAAAATATTAATTCCTTCATATATAATATTTCTCCTCCGGAAAACACTTTGGGGAAAAACATCAAGGATAAAACATTCTTTGGTACTCCCGAAGTATGTTATTAACCGAGATGGCGAGCATCGGAACGTTGTACGTGTACCAGGTTAGGTACCAATTTTTCTTATTTTAGTTCTATTACGAGTTTAGGGACTAGCCAAGTGACTCCCATAGTATTTGTAGCTGAAATTATGGCCTAACCCTAACCTAAGGCTAATTGTAAACAATACGTGAACAAAACTGACATTGAGACACTAGGTGTCATTAAGAAGCTGTTTTTGTAAATATGAGTAAAAAAAATCAATTGTTGGTTTTTAACTATAATAAGTTAACGCCTATTTCTTCACAATATTTCTAAGTGATAATTCTTTTGAGGTATCAACTTTCGCGTTTCGACCTAAAATCTTGATAAATTTATGAAAATTGCTAGAATTAAGAGACTTGGGAGAGCAAGAACTGATATTAAATAAAGTATTGTAACCTTATTCGAGGAAAATCTTGGGCTTAAAATATTTTTTTGTCGAGTACATCATAGGGAAACAGTGCTTTAAAACAAAACAAAGATGTTGGACTAAACAGGTCTGGGTGTCCTAAAAAAGTTGTTTTGATGAAATGATGTAAAAAATCTATTTTTAAATATCAAACCCCTTTAACTTTTATTAATGTGCTTTGAGCGGATATTGCTTCAAATTATGATGGAATAGCAGCTTAAAGACGCCTATTTCTTTTATTATGAAATTTATTTTCGAAATAGCAAATTGTGCCTTTGGTAGAATTGGGGTATTCCCGTAATATGTGAACCATGATAACGAACAGCGGAACGTAGTATGAGTAGCAGGTTAGGCCATAATTTCGGTACAAATACAACAGGAGTCACTCGGTTGGTTCCCGAACTTGTGATAAAACGAAAAAAAAGAAAATTGGAATAAAATTATGGCCTAACCATAACCAGGTACACATACTATGTTCAGGTGTCCGCCATCTTGGTTCACATACTACGGGAGCATGGAATCAAGAGGGAAAGAACTAATATTTAAAAAAAACAGAAAGTGTTGTAACCATATCCGACTCTTGACACGATGACCCTCATGAATCAAAAAACAAACCGAATAAAATTTAATTATTTGTGTTGTTTCTTCGTAAATCCATTGGACAAACAAATAAATTTTAATCACCAAATATTAGCTATTCACAAAGAACTTTAATAGAGCTATAAATGGGGTTTATTTGAGCTGGAATGATAGAGGGGACAGGAAATTCAAAAGCACGGATAAAAATTTATTAAACGACTTGCGCAAATTTTAGCTTGTTTTGTAACAATGCAAAATAGATATGTCAATACTTTAAAAGAAAAATATCTGGCAAAATGAAATTTTAGAAAAAAAACCCATCAGTACCAGTACAGTCTTACTTGAGCACAGAGTTTGCTGGGGAAATTAAGTGTAATAGAGGCAGAGAAAAAGAGGGATGAAAAAAGTGTTCCCATAAATAAGATAAAACAACATTTTGAATGAAATGTTTGGGCCTAGAAATCAAATTGAAAAAAAAGCTTTCTAGTCTTGAGGCTGCTTTATTTATAAAGATTTTTTTATATAAAGAAATTTGAATAAAGCAAGTGACTCACTCACTCAAAAATAAAGAAGGTTGACAGCAGAGCAAATTTTCAGTTTATCACAAAAGTATCGGGAGCTACTGAGACTATAGTGCAGAATTGCAAGCCAATTAATACAAGATTTTTCTTCTCAACAACAAAGCAGCAAAACGATCCATTTTGTCTAAAAAACGAGGCACAAAATTTCAATTACCTTCGTTTGCTGGTTGTGTGAGAATTCTAATATTGTGTCAACTCTAGTCCATGCGTCCGGATGTTCTTTTAATGCTTTGAGTATTTCCTCTGCGATTCGTTGCTGAAAATAAAATAAATTTTAAGGAAATTGTTCAAGAAATCTTACACACAGAATAGGATTTACATATTTATCCTAGGCGAGCGGGAAACTGAATTTGTTTTCGGAAGCATGGGCTTGATGGTGGAGAAAGCCGTAAGTGACCAGCGGTTATGTGAACCAACCTACGGCGGCGAGGAGTCCAGCAATCCCTCGCACATAACTATCCCCGCCCGTGATCCCACGCAGGGTAATCAGAGGTGCGGTGGCGAGCAAATTCCTAACGCTTAGCACGATGCGCCACACCACTAAGTTCACAGTCATACCTGTTGCCCTAAACTTTGCTTAAATCAAGGCCACACTTTCTCACTCATAAGGAAAAGGAGACTCATCTCTGAGCAAAGTTACGGGCACTCACTCAGAAGTAAAGGAGACTCATCTCTGACCAAAGTTACGGGCACTCACTCAGAAGTAAAGGAGACTAATCTCTGAGCAATGTTACGGGCACTCACTCAGAAGTAAAGGAGACTCATCTCTGAGCAAAGTTACGGGCACTCACTCAGATGTGAAAGGGACTCATCTCTGAGCAAAGTGAAATGCCAAGAGCTTTTTAAACTATCCAGAATTATGCTGGGAGCATTTAGAACAGTGCTTTCCAACGTTAATTGAATTGGGAGGCAAAATTAGAAGCGGAAGAATATTCTCACACCCAAAGGGCCGGTACCAGAACCGTATAATAAAATATCATTATAATTGAGTTGTCGCAAATATACACGTGCTCAAACTGTGATAACGACGCCATATTAAATCCTCACGCGTGCCGTAATTGGCCCGCACATAGAGAACCACTGATTTTGAACAGACTGAATCGAATAAACTTTTATACAGACTTTGAAAATAATAATTCAATTTGAAAAACATCTTACCGGTTGTCCAGATCCGTCGTACATACATCCTACGACATTATCAAGGAGTTGAATATCCAATTTCTGTGAGAAGTCCAGCAACTGCTGGCCGACTTGCTGAGTTAATACCGTTCCCATGGAATTAGTATTGATTGGTGGCGTCATTTTGTTGGATGCCTGGAAAAAAAAATATTTCAAAATTTTAACTGATTAATTCATTAGTACTGTCACACTATAATATGATAGGATTTTCATATTTATTTCAAAAGAGGGAAAAGTTAATAATTTTTTGGCGTGGCAGAGCCTTGTATGCTTTTAAACTTTATTTTAACTTATGCTCGACTCCCAGGTATCCTTGCATTTTGTTTGTCTGCTTACTTTTTGTGTCTTTTATGTTAAAGAACCAGAATAAAATGATTGATAATGATAACATGGCTCAATCATATGACGAACCATGGTCTTTCATTCAGTTACCAGTCTATGTTGGGTACGGAATTAGCTATTCGTTGAGATGCATGGACCTCCTTACAGCAGATATTTTGGGTACCACCGTAGTATGTGAACCAAGATGGCGGACACCGGAACGAAGTATGTGTACCAGGTAAGGCCTTAAGTACAGGTACAAATACTACGGGAGTCACTTGGCTCGTCCCCGAACTCGTAATAGAACTAAAATAAGAAAAATTGGAATAAAAGTATGGCCGAACCTTAACCTGGTACACATACCACATTATGGTATCCGCCATCTTGGTGCACATACTACGTAGCGCCAATATTTTTACAACAATAACCTGTTAACTATAACCAAAACTAAACTGTATCGGTATGAGTTTGTAGTTCGCGAAAGGATCAAACATCTCAAAAAATAGGGGAAAGTTGATAAGATGGCTTAACCATATAGTAAACCAAGGCCAGTTACCAGTCCATATTGGGTGTGGGAATAGTTATCCAGTTAAAAACAATAATCTGGTTTGATCATATGACATAATATGGCTTTTGTCTCATAACCAATTTATGGTATATAACAACCAATAAATTTGATTTTTACGCATAGTGGACATAGTAGGGCAGAATGAATGTCAATTTAATTTTTTCAACCAATAAAAATAAATTGTAAATAAATTTGAGAAAAAAGTGTACGCATTGTTTTACTCTAGAGAAGAAGCGCAGCAGGATACAGCCATATACCCAACACTACGCTCCAGAAGTATGCGTACCAGTATATACGCAACAAATTTTGTTCGCATACTTTACATCAAGGGACTGAAACCTATGTGTAGGGGGATATTTACTTGGCTAACACAGGCAGTCACCGAACTCGTAATAGAACTAAAGTAAGGAAAATCAGAATAAAACTGTGGCCTAAACCCAAGATGCTGACATGGTACATACTACGGGAGTATGATAGCCTTGTAACAGTAACATGGCCAGTGTCTTATTAACAAGGGTACATAGTCTTTCCTCCGACCCTTGAGGTTCCTGTATAAGTCTTTTAAATTCAGTTAGCTCATTTTAATCATGCAATAAGTCTTTTGGGCGGTTCTACTATAAACAACACCTACAAAAATCATTTCCATTAGGTTAAATGGAAAATTCCTGTATGAAAAATACCCTGTGAACAAGTGGTCACAATATCTGTGATTAATATGAATTTATTTCTATTTATATTTTATGAACATTGCGATATATCGTTTCAATATGTTGTTTCACATAATTAAAATTCTTTAACAAAACAAAAAGACGGTAAAATCACCCCCAAACCGTCCAAAATTTGATCGAACCGGCCAGCACTGGTTCGCAACACGGAAAAGTCATCTGCGCGTGAATCCACCTCGAGCGCGTCGCGCGTGTTATTAAACAAACCAATCTCACGCGCGCACACACACCATCGTGTAGTTTTCCACTCATCGTGGGAACCGTGAGAAAATTTCCATGACGTCACGGGCATTCAAAAGCGAGCGTTTCTATTTTCATTCGAAGTTGGGTGTTTCCCCGACTTATCACATACGATTTTAATTTCTTATATTATGTCCTCCCCACGAAAATAAAAATTGCCAATCGAGGATAGGCCTATAACCAGAAAAAATGAAATTGTAAACACATCATGGGGAAACCCCGCGAAACATTACTACATCTTTATGTAATTTTCCATTTGAACGTACGGTACACGGTACAGATGTGCCAGAATTTTGGAAGAAAAACACAATTTTACTAGTTTCTGACTGAATTTTGTTACAAAAATTTCGTAAATAGATTATAATATACTCACAGATTGCAAATCCGAAACGGATATCGCTGTAGCCGCCGTTTTGAAGGTTAGATTCGTTTCAAATTTCTGTTAAATACGTATTTAGTATTCTACTAGTCTACGCTTTCTTCTTAACGACTTATTCAAGTTATGCCTTCTTCAATATAAGCTTTGTAAAGTAACTGCTTTAAAATTTCTTTTATGACAAGTAACTCCTCCCTGCGAACAGTCAATTTCATGAAGTGATATTCGAAAAGCAATTTACAGAAGAAGCGAGTCGAAGCTGCAACCGGTTTGATCTGGTTTTCGCAATGCGTTCGCACTTTTTCGTTTTTCATCGCGCTGGATTTATGACGTCATCGCGTTTTTTCGTTCAGTTATTTAGCTCTCTTTCGTCCAGCAGTAAACAAAGAATAGGCAAACTTTAATACAAAATATAATTTCACATAACGTTAGCTATATCATACTGAAGTATAAAGATTTAATCAGTTTAAAAATGGTTCCGCAAGACTGATTCTGTCTAGAAATTTTGAACCCGCCATTTTTGAATCCGGAATTCACTTATCCGTGCGACCTGAAGTGGGCTGTTCGATTGCGGGCACCGTTTCGGTACTGTTGTATGTTTATTTGCCTAAAAATGTAACAGTATCTGCATAATAATTAAACGGTATAACAGAGACGTGATATATGTTCAAGACCTTACTTTGAATTATGCCTGAGGTCGCCAATTGTGACACATTTACAATTCTAAATGAATTAAGGCTAAACTTTAAATAAGAAGAAAAATCAAAACGTATCGATACTATTTGTTCTAGCCCTAGGTCTTCGCCGACTCCAGCAACTGTTGGGCACGCCTTGTACACAGGTAGGCTGATGCTCCGCGTATATAAACGCGTTTGTAACGAACGATTCGACACGACAATTGAAATTGTTGGACACGTGATGGATCGTTTTGCTGTTATGTTGATTTTGTTGGTATTTTTTTTCATGTTGTTACAAAAAAATCGTTTTTCTCATATACTAATGGACCAATTGCTTTGAAATTTTCAATGGTTGAAGATTGTATTTTTTGCTAGAATGTTATTACTTTTATTCCTAAATTTTCAATAAGATCTGATATTTCATCCAAAATGTCGCTATATTCTTATATTTTCATGTTTCAATTCGCCAAACTCGGCGGCGAGATTCCGATTTGACGCGACGCTACGCGAGACTCGGAGATTAATTGATGCGGGTCGGAACTGTACAAAACGGAACCGTACTTTATTTTGGATTTCGTATAAATATATTTTCGCATCGCTTTTTTTAAATTTACGCTCTACAGTAATTTTTTATTACCTTTTAGGAAGTTTTGCACCTCTAAAATTTTGTAAAACCACAGGAAAACGTCTTTGCGGCAAGGGTCTGAAAGTATCCTTATCGTAGGTCACAGGACTGGGCAATATCGCGTACTTGATGATTTAAAAATCTAATCTAAAAATTTTCAAATCAAATTCGAAATATTTTGAAGATATAATCGTATGTGGTATTTTCACTGTGATACATGGGTTAATAAGTTAAGAACTAAATGGATGACCGATGAATCACATTTTTTTCACACCGATCAGAAGTTGGAATTCTAGATTTTAAACAGCGCGTGAAAACTCGTGAACTCAACTCAGTCGTCTTACTAAGAGACATAAAATTACAAATGACATCTAATACGTGACACGTGTTGTTGCATCACTCTTGATAGCTTTTTGCCATAGGCGGCATGTTGCAACACACATCTCTCGAATAGAAAATGGATTTCATTTCCTCATTCCATTGCATCTTAAGAAGTTCCATCCGAATGTTTTCTGCAACCGTATCCACGTTGGCATCAAACGGAATACTAAATCAAGCCTGAATTCGTTTTTAAGAACGGAAAATGACGTCAGCATGCTTTTGACCGCGTTTCACATCCCTTAACATTTCTTCTATTAGCCGAGTCAAGTTTCTAGCAGAAAGGCTGATATAGGAGAATAAATTTACTTTTTTTAGGGCCTACAATACCGACTGCAGTCATCAATTACTTTTTTACGAAGTGTTAAGCAAATTCAAAAACTTTTCGAAACTGGCAACAGTATTCTGTTCGTTTTCGTTGTAAATTGTTTTAGGAAGAAAGAGCTTTGTTTTGTTAGACCTACTTTGAATTGTTTACTCCTATCTTCACGTCTTTGGCCATCTATCCTCCTTTCTATTGTTTTTCTAAGCCGATTTTTAAATGCTTCGTGTTCATAGTGACGATTAATGTCTAATTCCATTTTGCCGCAATGTTCTGGCGCCCCTTTGAAACCTATTGGGCACTCAGCACTCAGTTTTCCTGCGTTGTTGCCATTTTTTCTGATTACAATTAAATTGAAGGCTCAATTAAACGACGTATGTGTTCACTAAATTGTATGGGTTTATAATATAATTTAATCTAAACATATCTTACTATAAATTTTGTTACGCAAAGATAATACTGAACTACCCAAACGTAGATTGTAAAATTAATTCATCGTCTAAACCAGGCCTGGGCAAACCACGGCACTCGGGCCAAATCCAACCCGTTGGGTACATTGATTTGGCCCGCCCGATGCTGTCACAACTAAACTAAAACCAAATTTTGGTGTCTCAGATAAAAATTAGCTCAAGGATTTTGTTGAGATTGCGATTAAATTCAGTTTAAGCACGAGGCTTATTGTTTCCCACTTTTTCTTTTGTGACACTGTAAATATTGTTCATAAAATGTAACCTTTTACGTTACACCTAATGGCCCGCCAGTCTAGGTGGCCCGCGGTACAATAACCTTGCCCACCCCTAAACCGTCGTTTTGTCGCCATAATTCACGGAAATGTCGCGAGCCGAATCAGGACCGCGGGCCGTAGGTTGCCGACCGGTGCTTTAGTACTCCAGGTACATTAATATCATTTGAAGAGTTCGCTTCGCTTTCGCATCACAATAGGAAACTTATTCCATCAATAACTCACTTGGAAGACAGAAATAATCAAATGTCAGAATTGCTTTTAAAAAATTGAAGGATACACCTTGACTTCGCAACAAAATAAACAAGATGGCGGCGATTCAAAATTTATGGTTCCATTATATTTGAACCCACGACAATTGCACCTGCATACTTTTGCACCTTATAATTTTTTTTGTTTTGCGGATATTTGAACCCATACTAACCCTAACCGCATGGGTTTTAGCACCCGCATATAGATTGAACCCGGGGATATAACACATGGGTTCAAATGTACGTGGGTACTCAAATGTACGGTCAACAAAAATTTATGTATGCGAACAGATACGCATAATTCACTGTCAGATTCGAAACGCCCAGCTCTAATTGTATATATATACGCTTGTTAGATGCAACCGCGAAATGTTCTATAGCAGGGATAGCGAACCACTGACCCGCGGGTCACAAAGTGACCCACCGCATTTTATTCGTGACCCGCCAAGGCATGAATAAAATAACAAAAACGCTAAGACACCGGTGATAAAAATTGATAAAACCCCCCTTAAATTAATTTAACAATAACTAAACTATTATATTGTACCGCCAGTTGGGCAGTCAGGGTTGTGATCATTTATATTCAAATTGTTAATTTCCGGTATGGTCATTTTCAAAACTCCTAATCTTAGACGCATGTCTGCACCACTGTGTGCCCTATTTCAGCTATTGGCTCTGACATCGTTTATGACATAACAATGCAATTGATGTTCATTTCTCGCAACGTCTTGTCTCTTTCAGAAGTGGATCTGCAGACTGTTTTAGGGGTTATACGAGACCTAGATGATACTTTGCATTTTAATAGTTTCTCGCCTACAGTGCCGTTGGGGATACAAAATCTTTCAGACTTGAAATAAAAACCTAGAAATCTGGAATACCAATAGGGCAGTGCAAAGTGCTTTTAATATGGTTTAAGCTGATAGAGAAATATAACACTGTAATTCCCTCCTAACTCTTTGGAACCGTAAAATAATTTTTCGCATCATCCTAAACGTAATTCATATACGTGTTTTCGTACTCTAATTTCATAAAAACCGAGTGCCATAAAAAGTCCCTGATACAAGTGCTGTATAAGTAAAGACCTGGACTACACCAACACAAACAGAGCCGTTGTATCATGATTTGTTTCAGAAGTTTCTTATAGCTACAAACATTGATTAAATATATGTGACCCACTCTCTTCTGTTCCGCGATAAATATATAATTTTTGACCCATTCAGTGAAAAAGGTTCGCCATCCCTGTTCTATAGGTAGGCTTACAATATGTCTGACGCAAAAAACGAGACAGAGCGGATAGGACAAGCCGACCTTGATTCGATCCCTAAGCTTAGTAACAATTGTGGATCAAAATTAGCTGTAAACCATACTAAAATGTCCTCTATTGGTCTTTGCTTCAAATAATGGAAATCGCTCTTCAATTTATCAGAAAACTTGCACTTTGTTTTTTTTGCATTTTGATGATTCAACGACAGTACAGTTGGGTGTTGAATTAACGCATGGCACATACTTCATAACATAACTATGACATAACAATCTGAACTAGTAAGGTGAGTTGTAAACCAGTAGGAGTTCACCTGCGTCCGGTAAAAAACAATTTTGTATGAATATCAAATAAAAAAAGGCATACTTTCATACTGCATAACCGGTCATTGAGGTCTATCGGCCGGGACGGCGCAACAACTATAGCTAAAATCGGGATTGCCCCGACTAAACCGATATGTATGGTAAGCCATCTCGGTGGTGTGGTGCATTGTGCCAAGCGCTAGAAATACGCTCGCCACCGCACCGGTTATGCAGTACGACAATTGTAAATATTCTTTTATTCGATATTAATACAAAAAAGTTATTTTTTTAACGAAGGGAGCCGATTTTCCACTGATTTTCAACTCAAGAAAAATCCCCAAAATAATACAGTTACTTATTTCAATTTTCTTCGAAAAATAACACTAGGGCTTATTTTCTGGGGATGTGCTTTATTTTAATATATCAAAAACAAGATTGCAAAGTAGAGAATTACCAGATTTTCAAATATATATACAAAATATAAAAACCGATATCCATTTACTTGTGAAAAACACGTTTATATTTAATATAGATTATTCAGGTCATTGAACCCTTTTCTCTCTCACACGTTTTAGAATTCGTATTAATCATTTAAAACGTGTTGAAGAGATTTTGGTACTCCCGAAGTATGTTTACCAGGTTAGGTTTATGCAATAATTTTGTTCCAATTTTTCTATATTTAGTTCTGTTACGAGTTCGA